GAAACATAAGTGGAGGAGACAAGGTCGATGGAAATCCTGTTTGTGCGTCTCTCCTGCAGAAGCTCTCACATTCGTAAAACGGAGGGGGGGGAAACGTACTCAGATTAGTTTTAATCCCAAAAATAAATAATATAAATTCACACAACAACAACAAAACTAAAATCATTAATCATAATTAATCGCGCAAAGAAAACAAATTATCGCAGAAATACTTACTAGACGCATGGTTTCGTGCGTGCGAAGCTTCAATGGCATAGGAAGGATTTTATTCGTCACGACATTGAGAGTTGTAGAATTGACAGCAGTGTTTTTTTTTAATCTGTGAGCTTTTGCCAGCACCTGTCAAAGAGGGCTATGGTGTTCTTGTACACACATTATTACACATGTCCTCATTTACGAAGGTCGTGGTTACATTTGACCCTGCTTTACAATCGCAGCATGCTTCGTGATTAGATGTAAATAACATAGGTGTCATATTTCAATTTCCCTTCGCTGCCTGTGTAAAGGTAATTACCAGTTTAACAAATGCTTAACCAGTTGATAGTTTTCCAACACAAGTAACCAGGGGAGAACTGTTTGTTGAATTTAGTTTTGCACATGCGTCGATATAAAAATCACTGACGAACTGTGGTTGTAAATTCTGGGCATATCTGTCATATCAAACTTTCGCTCCCTTCACCCTCCCCTCCCCACCGTCAAGTCATCAGATAATTGCAGTATTTGCATCGTTCATTTACAATTACGTGGGCTCATTCTGTTCTCAAAATTAAATAGCAAAGACCAGCTCGAGGAGAGCTATATTTAGGTCTGCACAAGCCTCACTTAGTGTAGTACTTCAGAAATAATGGCTTATTGTTTAGATTATGCCTCCTGGTTGCCAAGAGATGGGATCCCCATGGTCACATTAGTTCATAAACCAAAGGGGAAAATGAGCGTGGCAGGTCATTGTGTAAATGAAAATCCTGGGTAAGGTGGGTTGGGAGAACAAGGTTTTTTTTATTGACCATTACGATTAAGGGAAGGGCATCCTTCACCGTGAAATATTATTTGATGGTCGGTTTTGAAATCTCAGTTTTTGTTGTTGTATTTATTTGAAATGATGCACTCTAAATAATATCATGTTTATCATCAGCTATGGTCATTCCACTGCTGGTTTAAGGCACCTTTTCCCACGATACTGTAATTCTACACACTATATTTTCTGGTAATGTCCCATTGTTCTAACTTAAATTTAACATAAAGGAAGTAGTATTACAGTAAAGGTGCACCTCTGATTAATATAATGTTGTCGTGCAATTTAAAGATAATTTTGCCAAAACTGGATATGTCTTTTGATGAATGTGTAATGACGAACATTTTTCAACTAATTGCCTCGAGTAAAAACTATATTACTAAATAAAAGTGTCACATGGCGAAAGTAAACAGCAATGCATTTTTTGTTTAATAATACATAAACCAATTATATCACAGTTTGGCTAATTAATTCAGTAATGCTCGTTGAAGGCTTTTTTAACCTTTTTTAGATATATCAATAAAATGCATTAAAAATTACCAAAATGTAAAGATGTTATCATCAGTTGCTCGTATTATTGACTACTATGATTTAATTTGAAACATAATTCTAGTAAAAAAGACATGTCAGCATGTTTTTTTCACGCTGTCTTAGCAGCTATATTATCACTGTCTTTCCCGTTTTGTCTTTTTCCTTCCAATAAACATCTAATTTACATGTCCGCATGTTTTTATGATACTATCAATGAATCATGTAAAATGGTGATATGCTGACATCATCATTGCATGCTCTGCCCCTTGCGACAAATAACGTTAAAATAACCTGTTTTTTTAAAGGCTCAACTGAATAGATATTAATTACACATACAGAAGTTTTAAACTCAAGTATATATTTATTTATCCTGGAGAAACTGTTTTTCACAGATGTCCAATAGAAAGTAACAACAAACAATATAAAACATGATTATGTATTTTTTCAAACTGCTGAAAGTTTACGCAAGTGTGAAACATGCCAATGGAAAATATGTGGATATTCATGGTAAACCGAAGTACATTCTATTTAAGACATTTGTATTTTTGTAAGCCACTGCGCTCCCCAAATTATGCATGTGTGTATGTTGATCTTCTTTTACACCATACGTAGCCAATCGTGCAAATCAACAACAGCAACAACAGCTGCCATTCACTATTAAGTTGCGGTGACATCACCATGGCGCTCGTGTCAGGCTAGGTGCACGTGAGGTGTGAAAGGCTTCTCTGCTGGCAAGAGGTCACAGACACAGGTGTTATGGGTTGACCAAATGAGATGACTGGCACATGCACCACCTGTGTACCTCACTGTGCCAAAGATCCCCCGTATAGCCTGTAACAGACTGTTGGGGCAAGTCCTGTTAGCGAGCACCTATGAAGGTCGGCACAGTACACGGAGGGGGTGGGTGGCCAGCACCACGCCCGGCCGCCTTTGTCTTCCTAGTGGCGATGTTTAGACATCGCACCAAGTACTCATTTGAAGCTGAGTCGACCTCGGGGAGGCCCAGGACCGGTTCAGATAATCGCTATCACCGGTGTTGCCCGTGAGCGAGAATCGAACTCGGGTCGCCGGGTTCATAGCGCAGTGCGCTGACCACTGCACTACCGCTCCCCACACAGTACACACACACACATATTTACGCATGCATATTTACATATACAAATTGACATGCACGCGTGTACACATAGACACATATATAGACCCATTGACATACAAAGATCCCCTGTGTAGCCTACATAGGCTGTTGACGTAAGTCACATGATGGGGGGCAGGGCGCGCACAATGTGCTACTACAAGCCTTAGCTCGATTCTCAAGCAGTCCTGGTCACATCTTCATCAACTCACACTGACCAGCTTGGCGAAGTATGGCCAAACGAATCGTACAGCTGACACGGCACTGGGAATCCTGTCTGAGAGGGTCTGACGATGCCTCCATCCAACAGGTCGTTGACAAATCGCTGTAAATTACGTACATTATATTGTTACCAAAATGACAAACATGCAGCATTCGTTGTCTGCGCTTTGACAATATCGGCACTGCTGCTATTATCCAGGCCCGCTGTCTTCGCAGCTATATTATCACTGTCATTCCTGTTTTGTCCTTTTCCTTCCAATAAACATCTAATTTTTTATTTAAAGCTTTCGTGACTGCAAGGATTCATATTATTGGTGCTTTCGGTAAAGTCACGTAGAAGGGAAAAATAAAAAATACTAAAATATTAATACATAAATAAAAATACATTATAATAAAAATATAAAACATTTTTTTTTATCTCCCGTCTACGTGACTTTACCGAAAGAACCAAGAATATAAACATCTAATTTACAACATTTTGTCCCTATCCACTGCCTCCGACCTGCGAGTGAATATGGGGGTTCGTGCATTACGCTACGAACCCAGCAACTAACATTTGAAAATGGGCCATCGGTATTGCCTGTTCTCATCTTCCCCTAGGATGACTCAGTCTTAACTGGGGTCCTGTCGTGGGTGTGCACTTTACAGGTAAGCATTGGCTCGTCACCACGGGATGAGAGGCAGTTGTGCGTTTGTTATTCAACAGTAATTACAGCAGCAGCGTCATCACTTTGGTGGTCATCACCTTCATCATTTTCACTTATTACAATCATCATACAGTATTTATCTGTCGTCATCATCATGCTCTTCATTTATCGCAATAATCACCATCATCGCTCTCATACTATTCTTAGTCATCGCAAACATCGTCTTCATCATCACCATCGTCAGTCAGCATTATTGTTTTTGGGTATCGCTAAGCCGCATTTGGCTTCGCGGCGACATTTACCGCACTTCGGCAGAGGGTAGAGCGGTTGTCAAGAGCAGCAAAGTGTGCGTGCCTGTGTTTGTGAGAGAGCAGGGGGGCAAATAAAGTAAAGCATTGAAAAAAAAACAAAAAAAAACCGAAATGATGAACGAAGCAAAGCACCGACTACACCGAGCATCTTCTTGCTTCCTCTGATCCTTAAAAAAAAGAGAGCAGGGCTCGATTGGTCAGCTCGGTCCATTAGTGTAGTCGAGCTTAATGATGTCAGTTTAACGCGTAGGCTTTCGCGACCAATTTCATCCATAATAGAGGTTTTTTGGGGGTTAGATATCATGCATAATCTGTACTCAGATTGTAAATGTTGTGGCTTGGCTCTCCAACACACCGGAGTTGCTGTACTAGTGACGAATTGGTCACGTTCTGTTTACGTGACAACCCTTACTCGTTGGCTGTGTCGGGCGGTGGCGGGTTTTAACGACACAGTTATATATTGACGCGATCTAACCCCAAAAACCCCTCTATTATGCTTGATGATGGGATTTGATGTGGCACGGGGTTCAACCCATTTCATTCATTCCGGCGAATCGGACCAAAACTGGCGCGCAACTTACGTGGAATTGATTTTGTGGATTTCTACAAAAGACTGTATTACTCAATTGCCCTTCATGTTTTAAGCATTTGTGATTTCTCTCTTCAATGGTGTTCGTTTGTCACGTGTGATATCTGCTCGCTTTCCCCTGTAACGTTCGTGAGATATAATTTAAATAAATTAATTGAAATAATTATTTAAATAAATGTGACCTGTTTACTGTGAACATGTTTTTCATCGGCTATATTTTTTCTGACACTGAGGTCTTCTCCACAAAATCCTCAAAAGACCTGTGTGTTTTTGTGCGTCATTTATTTTTAAAAATGTTTAAGAATAATATGCTTGTAAAGTGCATGAAGACGTCAGGATTGCAGTCGTTGTTACATGCTTCTTCGTGTGTCGTCACAATGGGGTTGATTAAATTAAAGAGAGAAAGGAGGCATTACTTTTTGTTCTTAGAAATGCAAAGAACGGTTTGACGTTTCAGACAGCTGCCTATCGTTGAGAACAGTGAGCCGAGAAAATAGTTTCATGTTAATGATGTTAGTCCACATCTACTAATGTGTATATATTGTAGTTTATTTAGCTTTTTTGAAACGTCCCAAAATACTCATTCCATGCAAATAAACACATTTTCCAATGAAGCGTATAGCATTACTGCTATTTACACATACACTTGTTAGCCATGTGTTATCATCCAGCATTAAAGATAACATACACATTTACATGAGTAAATACTTAACAGACCTTTGATTCAAACATTGAGAGATTTACATATAATGACCATTTTCGTGACAGCAGAGTGAAGTTCGCTCTAATGTGTTTTACTTTCCCATCAATAAGTCAGTCGTTACTACTTCCGGTGAGTGTTTTGTACGAAACGATGCATATTTTTTTTCTAAAATTTACATCTTGATATCATGGGAGAATTTGCAATAAGTCAGTAGCTACTGCTTCGGTTGAGCGTTTTGCTGAAACGATGCCAGACTCCCCCTTGAACTTTACCGGGCAGCACGTCCCACTGGGCGAAGATCCCGGGGCCGGCCCAGGATACGCTGGCGGGATAGTGTCGCTCGGCTGGCCTGGGAACAACGCCTGGGAATTGCCCAGGAAGAGCTAGAGTCTGTATATAGTAGTGTATAGTGTAGTGTATAGTAGTGTATAGTAATGTATAGTAGTGTATAGTAGTGTATAGTAATATATAGTGTATAGTGTAGTAGTGTATAGTAATGTATAGTAGTGTATACTAGTGTATAGTAATATATAGTGTATAGTGTAGTTTAGTAGTGTATAGTAATGTATAGTAGTGTATACTAGTGTATAGTAATATATAGTGTATAGTGTAGTGTAGTAGTGTATAGTAATGTATAGTAGTGTATACTAGTGTATAGTAATATAAAGTGTATAGTGTAGTGTAGTAGTGTATAGTAATGTATAGTAGTGTATACTAGTGTATAGTAATATATAGTGTATAGTGTAGTGTAGTAGTGTATAGTAATGTATAGTAGTGTATACTAGTGTATAGTAATATATAGTGTAGTGTAGTAGTGTATAGTAATGTAGAGTAGTGTATAGTATTATATAGTGTAGTGTATAGTGTAGTGTAGTAGTGTATAGTAATGCAGTGCTGGAGTCTGTCGCCAGGGAAAGGGAGGTCTGGACCGCCACTACTCAACACGTGACCGCCGCAACCCTCACCTGGACAAGCGGACTGAAAAAGGAGAGAGTTTTATCATCGCGGGAGAGTTTGCATTTTTTAGTATGAAATTTTTTATGGAACCATGATAAATAATTTCTAACCACGCAAATGAATGTGGCATCTGCTGGGTAATGTGAATGAGGGCAGAATGGGGACTTAATAGGTTATGGATGGAAAGTTAACGCAATAGATGAGCAGACAACGTGCCTCCTTCCCATGTATGTCCTTTCACACAGTGCATGAATAAAATACACATCCCATCAGCCACACAACCTTCTGGCAATAATTTTTTTTCAGCAGCATTGGACCAATTTCGACAATAAGTGGTTTCGTCAGCAACCAGGCTCGCTTTAACCAATTCTGGTGAACTCTGGCAAATATTTATAGGTAGACATGGGTCCCAATTCGATGCATTATTCTGTATTGTGTTTAATAAGGATAAGAGTGAATGTTGATGCAGCTTAGCGTAGATACCTAAAAGTGTCGGTGAGCTTGGTGAGAGGGAGACAGAGATTCAGTGTGAGCATGTGGAGACGTGGCTGGTGAAGACATGGGGTCGGGTGGTGCGAGAACCACTGGAGCGATTAGGAATCCACTGGAGCTATGCACTTTCAAATCTAGATTAAAAACTCATTTCTTTAGAACTTATTTTCGTGTTTAGTTTGTTGTCCATCCCGCCGGTTAGCACGTTTGGCTAGTTATGGTGCGAAAGAAGTTCAAAATAGATACAGAACACTGACAAAGTGGGGTTGGATACATCCTTCGAGACTGGTGGGAGTCGTGGCAAGGGTTTGCAAACACTCAAAAGTTGCACAACATTGCATTGTGGGGACTGCTGAGGCTTGAAATACTGCACAATAGACTAACGTTCAAAATACGAGACAGCAGTGGACATGCACTGTTAAATAAGAAGACAAAACAAGATAATCTTTTCCAGTTGTCATCGAAAAGGAAACAGCAAAATTGTCAAATTATCTCTGGGCTTTTTTTTAATTCTGAGAATGCTGCCGATGACTGTGGGCATTGATGCTCCCGGCAACCACGTGGGGGACAAATTGTGCGCCGCGCATTTCAGCAGGACCATGCAGGTGTACGAACGGTCGTCATGGCGTGCGTCAGTCATCTGCATGGTGACGTTATTGTTGAGCTGTTGCACAGGAAACAGGGCTGGCAACGGTGGCCACTCAAGAGGGGGGGGGGGGGGTGCTCTCAGCTGTGACTTTGTTCCGGAATCCAAAGCCATGGGGTTAATGTGGCCTCGGGAAATGAGAGGTGTGGAGTATGTGTGAAAAGCTAGGCAGGTGGGCTTCAGGAAGCAAGAGTGCACTAGAGAGGTGAAGGACAATCCGGATGAATAACAGGTGAAGAGAAACCTTGGAGAGAGCGAGAGAGAGACAGAGGAGGATCGAGAGCCAGACGGTGAGTCAGCGGTTGTGAGTCTTGAGCGGAACAGGAAGGAACGAGTCTTCGATATAACGTGAGCCAAATAAACAAGATTGTTGTGTTGGGATGTGGGAGGGCACAATGCCGGTAACGATGAAGGGAAATATTTCTTTTTCACCGTACATAGCCAACCGTGCTAATCAGAGGTGCGAAACACCGCGAGTCAGTGGTGTGTGCGACCCCCGGCGCAATCAGCTTTGAGTACGGTGAGAAGTGGTGCAGAAAACAGCTGTGGACAGCAGATGAATGACCTGGCAGACTCGGGTTCACCGTCTTGAGGGTGAAAACGGGAGATCAAGTACGACCTCATGGCAAGGCGGACTTCATTTGAACTCAAAATCAAAGTTGGCGAGGCTTGTGGAGGGCATGATGGCGGAAGGGATGATGACTGTGACCATCGCGATAAATTATGGAGTGACAGCACACCCCACTGAAGAGACGTATGGATGAAATCAGCTCGTGTGCCAGCTGCTAAGATGGATCGTCGCATCACAGGATCGTGAGATGTGGCAATAAACTAGAAACGAAACTTTTTTTTTACGAGGTAAGGCCCGCTGAGCTATATAGCTCTTTTTCAGAAGTGACCTGGCCACAAATGACAGCTCGACCAAGTGGCTTATCGTGTGGAAATGTTCATAGCGGGCAAATACTTTAAACGCAACGTTTCTAAATGTGGAGGGAAAAGCTGGTTGGACCCGGAGAACAATCCACACGACCACAGGGAGAAGCGTACACACTCCAAATATCGAAGCGTCAGGATCGAACCCACGACCTCCGGTACTCCAGGCGAGATGTTTAGACCCTCAATGGCTTTGGATTGATCACGGCTGCTGATGACGTCGGTAACCTAGTGGGGTGCAGTAGTTAACGGAAATTGCACGAGCCGTGGGGGGTTGAGCCGGAGGAAATTGCCCGTGTTTGCAGGGTCACAAAAGGTAGAGAAGGTAAATAAGGGACGACGAGGCGTTACGTCGTGGGCTGTAACTGCATGAAGCCCTTGCTGCTGAGCAGCTATGTGAGAATAAATGAGGGGGGGGGGGGATGCGATTATCTCCGTGGACAATAACCGCGTGTTTACAGGGGGAGACGCGCGTGATTGCGTTGGTCACGCGTGGTGATCGCTGGTGAAGACAGCGGCGAGGACCTGGGATTGCCAACTGAAGAGTCGGAGGCGAGCGATGAGGTGGTGCGTGCACGCGTGCGTGTGTGTGTGTGTGTGCGACATCAGCGATGGGTTGAAGGAGGCAATCTGTAAGATGAAAATAAAGAAAGAGGTGAGGTTATTGTCAATTATTCTGCGGATAAATAAGTGTTCGCAAACCGTAGGCGAGATAATACATTTGACGCCGATATACTACAGGAATATTACGGGAGCTTCTCCTTAGGAATTGAACAACGGAGCATACAGTAGATAGGTCAGAGGATAGGACAGACTTAATGTGAGAGAGCTAATTCGAAAAGACAACATTTAGACACCTCCGATTAGCACGGTTGGCTACGTACGGTGCGAAAGAAGTTCAACATACATATGGGGTTAGGGGAAGGCAAATAATTGGTATCTACCGTATCTAAGAGCACAATAAAGCTGCCAGTGAGATGACATGTTAAAGAATGAAGGATGCAAGGAGGAATGTGTGGTATGTGGATTTTGTAAAGATGGCCAAACTGTTGGACGTTCTATAGCCGAGCAGTTTTTGTGCTCAGATTGCAGTGGAGGGCATGGAGGAGGGGTGGTAATACATGGAATGATGAATGACAACGCGCATGAAGGATGCACCTGAGGCGTGAGTGACGAATGTTTATGAATAAACAGGATATGCTTTGAGTGTTGAGATAGGGGGCAGAGGGAGAGACCTGGCTTTGGCGCGTGGAAGGGTGGCGTTAGGGCACGTCTGCAATGGAAAATGTCACGAAAATCATGGCGAGAATGCGTCTGACGTCGCAAGGCTGTACGACATTGTTATCCTTTTATAGAGACGAAATTAACGTTTCCGCATTGTTGTGGACATTGTTTCATGGAGTCTGCTAAGGCTTGAAATGCTACCCAATAACCTAATGTTCAAACGTACAAGAGAGATGTGGAAATTATACTATTAAACAAGATATAACATCATGTTGTATATATCAGCTATATCATAAAAAAGCAAAACTGTCAGATTACCTCCCACACTTTCGCCTAAGAGTGCTATGGGTGCACATCATGTCACACTTGCAATGCATCCACTTATTGGTGAATCTTTAGTCCCTCTGATCCATGCGAATGTGGGAAAATCTGACCAGCATAAATTATTCATCATGCACTTTCAAAACCACAAATTTATGGAAACACTCAAAATGACCACATCACTAATTTTCTACCTTCAATGAGTCCAGAGCCAAGAATCTCCGTTTCTTTTTTACCAACCATAGGAAACAAAAAACACGTGCAAAAAAAAATCACGTGTCATTGTTGTTGTTGTTGTTGCTAAAGGCATTTTGGACTGTGAAACTTGACACTGAATGTCCAAACCTTGTGACAAATGTCCACTTAACAGTCGTCAGTTTACTTTGGTGATTGTCTGCGGAAAATCGCAGCGTGTCAGTGTGATGCAGCCATTCTTGTCAAACTGCCCCAGTAGCGATCATACTCATTGCCAAGGGTGTCCAGCCACCTACAAAACTACGTAGAGAGTGGACCATGACAACATAAATAGGTTCAGATATAACCGATCCATCAACAATCTCACTTTATGGAAAACTGACTTCAGGAATTTATAGATTCATAGAGGATTGTACGAACTGTATGTTGTTACTCCCGATTGTGTTCACGAGAAATGCAAGTTGACCGTTATTACAGTCAAGCGGCATCTAATTAAATCACTTTACTAGAATTCTGGTGAAATCCATAGGTAAACATTTTTCTACGTGATACGTTAAACATATTGAAATGCCCATACATCAATATTTGACCCAAATATGGAGTCACAGTAAAATTGTGTAATTATAAAATTAATATCTATATTAAAATACTTTGGTATATTTCTGTCTAACACTGGGAAAATAAATGTAATGTGCAAAAAGGTTTTCTCTTTCAGAGAACAGTTGTCGTAACCAAAGAGTTGCATTTTGAGAGAAATGTATTTTAAATGCAAGGTTTTCAAATCTGCCTCTGACAATATGCCTGAGATTGGTATGTGTTTAACCGACAATTATATCTTTTTTTAATTTAGACTTAAGTTTTAAAATATATATATCGTTTCTTCGTATGGTAATATTTTTGTCAGCAGAATACAGATTACTGTTTTTTTCCCCCACTCTACATTATACTGTAATATGGAACGAGGAAGAGTGAAACATCTTTAGGCCATACACAAGCCCTTTCTGTGTCTAACTCGTTGGATATGAGGCAGAGTTAACAACTATCAGCACATAATCCATACTTGTGGTGAACAGGAGGGCTCTTAAACATTCAGCTTTATGGGTAGGTGATATTAAAGGCACAGATGTACATGCAAAGAAAACGGACACTAAACAATACATTTATCACGTTACATGCAGTGTACTTCAATGCATTAACGCTGCTGTCAAAGAAATGTTACAAACATTAGAAATAATTGAATAATTAGCATTTGTTAGATTTTGTCTACACAGTAAGACTACGTCAACAACATTATAAACAACATTAAAACAATATATTGATAACTAGGACAGGTAAATCACTGACGCACTCGTACCTAATAAATGAAACACACCCACAAACATGCCATGCTTAAACACCGCAGGCACCACATGAAATTGTCCACAAAGTGTGCAGAACATATTTTAGGAACAGAATAATCCTATTACAGTAAAATATACCACTTTAAACTACAAGTAGGACGACTATGGTGAGTTAACTTACAAATTGCTAACATTGAAGGCACTTAAGTGGCAGTTTAAATATACAATAGATGCATGTAAATGTTTACATACACTGATACAGTATTTGCATACTGTATATATCTGTACATGTATATTTCAACAAGTGAGGAATAATATGTGCCTTCTAAATAGTTTGGCTATTCGGAATGCTACATCTGGGCAGTCGTATATAAAAGAATTGTTTTGTACGCAAAAAAATGCCCCCACACATTTTCATCCATCAATTTTGGGGTCGCTTCATCTCGTGATCGTTTGAATTTCTTGCAGCCGAGTTGGTGGGGAAGTGATCAGTATTCCTGAGATCCCCCACCTAGCATGTCACCGGTGCGCAGCTGTGCACCACTGTGCCTCACTGCTCTTCAAGCCAGGGAGCTGGAACACACGAACACTGGGAAGATTTAAAAAAAAAATGAACCAAATGCCAAAAAAAATACTGCTTGCGTGGTAGGTTTTTCTCGGCTGCGCTGCACCGCTTGGCGCGGTATCCAACGCTTTGCTCTGTGTTCTGGGAACGTTACCGGTTCAGTGCCTGAAGAAGGTCCCAGCACGCTCAGCGAAACGTCGAAATAATTTTAAGGAGGATGAACATGAATGGGTGTTTTATGTAAAGCTTTCATTACTGACTTTATAATTTAGGATAAAAAATACCCCACATTACCGGGACAATGATATTGTAATCAGTGGCATATTTTATACCTCACCTGAGTATTTACATGTATATATTTTGGCATTGAGAGAATATTCATTCAGCTCATACTCCAGCACGGATTGCAAAAAAGTCATTGTTTTTTCCCGAATCAGGCATTTGCAGTTTCCCAAAATATGTATGAAAAAGAACCAAAGAGTATGTATGAAAAAGTTAAACTTTTAGTTTTCAATCATTGCATTTTAAAATAAACCAGTCTGCTTTGAAATACCGTTCATTCTGAAGGCAAGACACGATATTCTTCTTATCTTAGTGTAAAGGATCATGACAATGATATAAAAATAGCCTTTGGAAGTTATACAGTTCCAATCAATATCGTTGTCTTTGATCGGTACATTAAGGTAGTTTTACAGGACACATGCAATGCATTTTAAATCAATGCTTATTACAAAAGCATGATCTGTGGAAAAAAAAGTTTACATGTGTTTAAATTATGTCATTCTCTTAAAGTATCCACATTTAAAATTCCCCAACAGTTACATACATGTAAGTTCCAGTAGTTTCTAAAGTACATTTATTTGCCTCAAATGCACTTTACACCTGCCCAACAGGTGCCATGTACATCGTCGTGAGAAGGTGACGCCGAAGTTGCAACAAAGAAGAACACGTTAAAAACAAGCCAAATTAATTCCCACAACTACAGTTTTCAAAAAAACCGCTCGCAATCCGTTCACACACTTGTCCCTTCGTCGTCAATGAAATCTATGGCATCGATCATGTTCACGACAGTCGTAGTCTTAGAGTTGCCCATTGCTGCCATTTCTGTAGAATATACCAGAAGCTCCTCCGAGGTTTCTTCAGGATTATGAATCATGGCCAGGTTTCCCAGCGCACCACTGCTACCGTCTGACTCCGTGCCGGCATTCACAACCTGAGGTTCACTTCCCCGAAAAGTTAAACCGGTTATGGATTCGCTAAGTGAAGGCCTACGCGTGGGTCCCTTAGAAGCATTGAAAGCGAGAGAGTGCACAGAGGCCGTGAGGTTCTCCTGACCTCCACTGTGTTTCAGCTCGTTTTCGTCACTCAACATCTGTCCAACCACACCACCGACGTCGGACTTATTCAGTGGCACGGAATAGTTTCGCTCCTGCGGCTGATGGAGAAGCAGTTCCTGCTCCTGTGTTAGGGTCTGAGCGTCGCGATCAAACGGTGATGTGTCACGTGATTTCCGTTGCTGCTGCTGCTGCTCGGAGAACGGTGGAGTTTGCGGAATGGGCTGGGAGCTAACGGAGCCGTGAGCGAGGACGCTGTCAAAGCTGCTGCTGCCCGCCGGGGTGGAGTTGGGCCAGGACGGTGGTGTGTCCGTGGAGGGCGTGACGCTGGAGGTGTGCTGCGACTGTTGGGCCGGGTTGTGGTGGAGCTGCATCAGCCCCTTGAGGAGCTCCATGATGTTCCTGAGGTCTCTGCTTAGCTGTGTGACCTCCTTGGTCAAGCTTGACATCTGGACACCATGGCAGACATGGATAGTGACAATTGAACGGTTATTGATGTGTAACTTTTGGTTACTCCTGTATGAAAGGGCCATGCTTTGGAGCAAGGGAATACTTTATTATGTAATGTGAACAAAATAAGCTCAGTTGGTGACCATCGTTGATATTCACATTGAGATCAATCTACAGAGGAACTGACATGAGTGCAAATTCATGTAAAAAACAATGTTATTTATTTAAGGGGCAATATCTCTCCACAAAAGTGGATTGCGCGATGAAGCTGGTGACCTGAGTTTGATTGGCAGTCACCGTGAACGTCAGCTATCATATGCGAACCGGTCCTGGGCCTCCCCATTGACCAAGTTGCACTGACCAGCATGGTGCAGTATGACAGACACAGTGTGGGGGAGACCTTCATCCAGCATTGGGTTGACAAGGGGAAGAATATGATGATGATGGTCATCATTATCATTGTCATTTTATTTATACATGACAAATTCGTTTGCTGATGCAGGGTATACACCAAATCGGAGCGCTGTGCTGTGTTGCGTCGAAAGGGCAGTGTTTGTTACCTCCTGGTTGAGCCGGACTATGCTCTTGTTGGGCTCTTCTGGTGGCAGCGATAACGCCCCAGGACTCATCCGCGCCGTGTCCGCTCCTGCGGCAGGCAGCATTATCAGCAAGTGCACTCGCCAATGTGAAGAGCACACGTTGTGCGACAGTGGAGCTCGCATAGATAAAGCGGACCATAATGAGCAACAGTTAAACTACTCTAAATTTGACAGCTGTCAAAATCGACGTTACAGGAAAGGTATTATGATAATTACAGGGCGATATGAACTGGAAGATAATCGCTTTGCTCTTTGCGAATATTAAACGTATGTGCAGCATTTTCATTGTCACTTATGTGCGTGCGTGTTTAGGGACGTAGAGTGCCTTGATGCAATGGGGACTGTGAATGACACACACACAAATTAAGAAAAATGTGAAAGTGGCTTGCTATGTTTTGACATAAAAAAACGTTTTTTTTACATTGGAAATAAAAAGCTATTCATATGTAAAATATGGAAATATCAATTTCCAGTTACCTATGGTAGAGGTGGTACTGCCAACATCTTGCCTTTGGTCCTTGTACAGGAACTCAAATCTTTGCTTCACTGGTGTGTTGCCATTATCTTCAATCCCATCAACAAATCTGGGAAGACATCACGAAGTAGGAAGCATGCTGCTGTACTTAATTACAATGCAGTGAAATAAACTTGAGAAAATATATGTTGAATTATTGGACGAGTCATTTCATTTGTATAAGCAGTTTTGCTGAACAGACAATTTGTGCTACGATATGTACATTTGATATTGTGATTATAATCCAGGTATACTATATGCAATATTCTGCGATATTATTAGGCTCCTCGGAATGTTTTCCTTTTCATGTTTAATTCTCTCAGAAATAACCTACATTTAAAATACCCACGTACATGCTTTGACATTATGTTTATGGTCTGTAAGATTAATTACGATGCTGAATAATGAAAATGGAACCTTTGTCATGCTCAGATTAATCAAACCTATAAGATGATTTATTGAACAATTATAATATAAATAGTAACGGGATGGATTCAGATATTTAAGCAACAAGATGAACATTTAATGTTGGGACCTTTCATCATTTTGTTCTCACAGCGGAAATAAAACACAACTCAGGCTCGCCGGTGAAACATGTCATCGAAGGAGGTAAGAGAGGGCTTTACCATTCTGGGTAACGGTAGCAGCGCATAAAAAAGTCAATTCACTTGGCCTGGTTTAGTCACTGGCACAAAGGCAACAACAGCAGATGGGCTGTGCGCAGGGCTGTGAGAGACCTGCTGGCGCTGCGCATGTTCTCAGAAACATGTGGGAAATGGGAAGGTGAAAAGTATCCCATTTCAAGTGAAAACAAAGCACCGTGTTTGCCTGCGTTACGATGTAACCCGCTCGTTCCCCGGCTAAGTCGGGTTCAATGAGATGTTTACAATTTTCTGCGAACGCGTATTGCTTTAATAAATCTTGTCAGCGCTGGCGCTGCTCAGGGTAAGCACGAATATAATCAGCATTTAATTCCGCTGCCTGAAGGCATAATTGACAGAGTTAATATTCAGGCAGCAGAGGCACTAAATTAGCACATCAAGTGCAATTTCATACACTTAGGACCTTCGGCAGATGAAAACGCAGCAATTAATATCGTTATGGCCAATGGAAGTTGATTGTGCCATGAATGCACGAGGGATGCGGTTTGCTATTGCAGTTGTTCACATCTTAGCAAATTAATCAGTGATGCCTACCGTGAGCACACAATGTGGAGTCGTGACCTCAGCATTATCTCTCCGTCCGTGCGATAGGTATGGTAGCTCTTAGGTGGCAGCGTGGTCACGTTGTTCACAACCATCACAGTTCCGAATGGAATAGTTTGGATATTTCCCAGTACCTCGCTGACACATGATGATCAACGTCGTATGAAATGTCACTGCAGCAGCCAAGTAGGCATTTCTTTTCAGGCAGCTAATAATTCAGTTCCTTCGAGCACCGAATGCGCAGAACGAACGTTGCCAATAGAGTTCATACCGATTACACAGGCTTGCATATTTAACAAAAGGCTGATAAGACAAGTGGTGTGCACAGATCCGTACCTCGCAGATGTCACTTAGCCGTGAAATTAACCCATCTTGTTGTAACTTTAATGGCTCAACAGGTTGCGTGAAAATAATTTACAATTGCTAATCATGATACGCAATAAACGGCGTATTACTAAAGTGGAACATATAGGAGGACACATTCAAAGATAATAAGGCAGGGCTATATTAAATGATCTGAAATACCCTCATTTGCATTTTAATCCTCATCTAAATACGCAAATCCCTGGTGTGCACCATGCCATTTAAATTTATGAAGCTATGTGAAATTCTCAAATTGTTTTTTTTTTGCAATCAATACGTAACGGCATGATGCTGTGTATGCAAGGCACTTGATGTACTGCTGAACATTCTGGTTACAAATATACAATGTCAACAAATTACCCAGCTCATCTTAGCTCTCCAGATTAAAATGGTGCATAACTGGCTCATTACTCGACAATTTAATAAAATATATAACAGAGGTGGTAAAAATGCACTTTTTAATTTAAGAGCAAAATCCTCTCGTTGGAGATAAACAGTTTGGGTGAACCATTGCCTGAATGTTATGAAAAAAGATATTCGTAATCAGTATCACTATTTTGACTTTTAATGGCAGTTTTATGGGATTTCCATAATCACAATATAATATCTTGATCATCTTTTCTTTCAGAAACATTGTGTATAAAACAACAAGACATCGTATTTGCGAAGAGTTACACCATCATTTTAGTGACAGCTGCCTATGCAGTTTTTGCATGAACTAGACATGTAAAAACCTATATGCAGGGTTAACTAAAAGTAATGACACTTTTTTTTCCTTTACTGTCACTGTGAAGGAAGATTGAGTTTAATGTTTTTCCCAACTGACCCTCGGGAAATAATTCGATGGAAATGTCATTTTTTAAAATTTTACATTACGAAATATACCATCAGCACAACCATCATATAAAAGCAGCCCCCTCTCTTCGTAATGGTGCATCAAGATCCTAAATATCTTATGAGTACGACGTTAATGTTAATCTGGCCATAAGTTCATATTTCGTCAGCATGATGTAGCAACCCCCGTTACCTTGGGCTTAGCTCTGGTACGCCGCAGCATGGCACAGTCCCAGGGAGCCTCAGATTATCTGGCTTCAGGCCACTCCGGATTCCGTCTAACATCGCTAATCTTCCTGGAATTGCTGTAGCGGCGGATAAGGCCCCATTTTCCGCAACTTGGGGTCTTCCTCCTGTTGCCAACGGATTAGGTTTGTGACTCGCACTCGCCGATCTGTGCCTTAACGTGAGGCGGCGCACAGTCAGCGGCGTCAACTCGTCCTCGTCGCCCCCTTCGGCGTCTTCCTCATCCTCCAAAATTGACGGAAGGTTCTGGAACACGCCCCCCTGAGCCTCCGCCTGTGCCTGTAGAAACACATCTACTTTTAAAACAACAACAAGTATGTCCCTCTTCACTCTGCCTTGTTTACAAGTGGGGGCAGAAAACTATAATAACCATGGAATGTGTGTGTGTGTGTATGTGGGGAGCGGTAAGTGTAGCAATTAGCTCGCTGTGCTACGAACCCGGCCACCCGAGTTCGATTCCCCCTCACGACAAACAACACCATTGACGATTATTTGGAGGGAACTCAGAGGGAACGGTTGCACCTATGTATTTATGCTGAACTTCTTGGTTCTTTCGGTAAAGTCACGTAGAATGGAAATAATAAAATAATAATATTTCGGCCACAATGCAAGCAGCCGTCCTCAGGTGAAGAACAGGTCTGTCAGACGCTGTCTTTCTGACAGACCTGTTCTTCACCTGAGGACGGCTGCTTGCATTGTGGCCGAAACGTCGTGAGAATTATTTTATTATGTTTTATTTTTATTATTTTATTATTTCCATTCTACGTGACTTTACCGACAGAACCAAGAAGATGAATCCCTGCAGTCACGAAGAAGCTTTAAATCGAAATATGCTGAACTTCTTTCGCACCCTGTATGCAGCCAACCATGCTAGTGGGTTTCCGGGCCGTGTTGGAAGGGCAGTCGCACTGACCTCTCGGCCCTCACGCAAGTTGTAGGTGAGCTCGCCCTGGATGTCCTCGTGGAATTGGTGCGAGTACTCGGGGTAGAGGTCAAGGACGTCGTAGAGGCCCCGCAGGTGGATGCACTGCAGGTCACAGTAGGTGAGGGCCTTCACATCTGCATTGGTCTTCAGCACCTGGTCCTTGCTGCTTAGGTCTGAGCCAATGAGGTCTCCCTTGCCTGCTCCAGATGACGGCAACACGTCATCACACGAGGTGGTGAATACCACCGAGAGAGACAGGAAAATAGCCACGTTTTCAAATTGTGGATTCATCTTTTCAATGCTGGAATGTCAAACACACACTCGTGTCATGAAATTATTGTCCATCCATCAGTGACTCATCCATATGTTTGGTTCGATGCCATGGATTATAAACGTATTGTGTGGTCTGAATAATTGCTCACAATAAGCCGTGGGAAATTAAATTATAAAAGCGTTGTGATGAAATCATCAGAGAGGTTAACAGTATCGTGTAAAGTGGTAGAGAAATGCGTTTATGTGCAACACTTTAAAAATTATTCAACAATGCGTTAACTTATGTAAAAAAATATGTACATTGATGGTTGGTATAAGAGTAGAACATTGTGTGCTGAATGATAAAATTAAATTCTAAATTGAGAAGTGACTGACCACAAAACGTTACATTGATCATTTATTCTGTGCACTGTGACATTCCTTGATCTTCCTTGCAGACGTGGCAATGGATCTCAATATACACTTACTTAGCGATAACGGTTCTATTCACTGGACCTCACTAGAGAAAAGTGATTTTCATGTTTTTTTTAATAGCACCAGCAGTCCAGTGGGACAAGGGACACCACATTCTCGGACTCAGAAGGCTCTGGGTTTGTACCTGGCTCTTCAAGGCCCCCAATAGGATAGTCGCGGTTGGCTTTCAACGAGCGGCGGGTGGGATTTTCTAATTGTTTTTTCCTAAAGTTGTGTCCCCTGGGTTCAGTGAGATTCTTGGCAGGGGATCCCCGGTACCCCCAGGGTGCACACCGTGACAAGCGACTCCTGCCCTGGTCTCCCCTCGAGGCTGAAGGCGCTCGGGGAGGCTTTTATTTGGCTCGATTATCTCTTTTAGACATTTTTTTGTGGTAGCGACTCCTGCCCTATTCACTGGACCTCACTAGAGAAAAGTGCATTCTTTTGGCCCCGCCCCCCCCTCCCCCTCCCGATGCGTTCCATTCATTGGCGACCACATTCTGATGAGCTCCCCCCCCTCTCCTCCCCCTCAACTTGCTTTTTAAGGGATTACATTTTGAATCATTGCCTCACTTGATGCAGCTAATCCGGCTGTGACGGTCCCACCTGATGACGGAGACTTGTGTTGCCTCCGAAACGTCGTGATTTTTGTTTTATTTTATTTTTATTAATTTTGATGTTTTACCTACGTGACTTTACCGAAAAAACCTAAGAATATGAATCCTTGCAGTCACGAAAGCTTCAAATCTAGAATTTTTTGTGGTGTTTTTTGGTTAAATATGACGTTTTATCCGGCAAGAATAATTAGAGTTTCGGATTTGGTCGTCTGTCTCGACGATGCATGCCGTGTCGTTCTAATCCGCCACGTCAATGCGGGTTGCGGTACGTGGGTGCAATCCATAATCAACGTTTTTGGGTTTAGATCGCGTTATTTATAAATGTGTCGTAACCCTCCACCACCCGACACGGCCAATCAGTAAAAACGTGTCACGTTGACAAAAGACAAATAGTTCACTGCTTTAGCCCACCGGTGTGTTGTAAATGTTGTGGCTTCAACACACCGGTGGGCTAAAGCAGTGAACTATTTGTCTTTTGTCAACGTGACACGTTTTTACTGATTGGCCGTGTCGGGTGGTGGAGGGTTACGACACATTTATAAATAACGCGATCTAAACCCAAAAACGTTGATTATGAATAACATTGGTCGCGAAAGCCTGCTACGTGTTAAACTGACGTGGGTGCAACGTTGCACGTGGGCGGTTCTGGCGCATGCGACACTTTAATTGTTCCTTGCTGGGTAGCTTCGTGTTATCTGGGCTTGTCATTATAATCAGATATAATTAGCGTTACTAAAATGTGGCATGCTTGCTTTTTCATTATAATTCTTTGCATATACGACTTGGCATTATGTTTAGTGTTTATTTGAGTTTAGGTCATTTTTTGCTCTCTGACTATACAAATTATATTTTCTTAATCCCACATTTTACACTTCCGCTTTGTGATACGTTGGTGTGATATTGCTTTGTTTTTTTCCATGCACCAGGTCTTGACATTGTTAAGCAATTATGGATCTTATAACGATTTAGCTCTTTTGCTATTCAATAGATGGTTTGTCAGTAACTTAATCCGGCTTATTGACAAAGTTATTTGGTGCTTTGACTTTTGACATTTGCCATGACCTCATATGTATGTTAATCTTGGGCTGGCCACTTGTGTAAAAGAGATTTATTGCCAAAGAGCTTAATTGCTTCCAGCTTACATCGTCTTTGTCATCTACATGTCCTGTAGTGTGCACGTTTGTGTAGATATATATTTCATTTCCTTGTTTCACCTTCCTCATGGCATGTTGTTCAGCGGTGTAGTTTGCTGTGTGCTATCACGAACCGTATTATTTGTTATATATTTTTATAATTAATTTCTCTTTCTTTACTGAATGTAAATTAATGGAAATTCTGCAAATAAAGTGGAATCGTTATTTTTTTAATGCAACAAATTACGGTGAGCTTCAGAGAGCCTCTAACTTTATCCTGCCGAATATTAGAGCGTGCCTTGCCAGATGTCAACCACAGGGTATCCTAATCGTGCTGAGTGTAATCACACGTGGAGCAGCATGGTGCAGAGACTGCCTCAGTGTACCGAGGATCAGATAACAAATTGGAAAGAGAAACGTTGACGGCGGAACCCCTTGTTACTGGCTTGAACGCGAAGAAGAATAAAAACCCCCGAGCTACATTCGCAGACACTGAGAGATGAACTCAATGATGTTAAATAAAATAAAGCCTCACTGAAAAGAAATCTATACTACTTTCTTGGCTGACATTAAACCTTGTTCACTTTTCATCCACTCGTGTGTTTTTTTGGTACAATGTGTGGTTCAGAGGTTTTAAAACATTATTTTTTACTTTGGCAAATGGTAATGAAGGCACGCACTAAAGTAATACAAGATGACCCATGCTGCTTTGAAAAAAAGTGGCAAATGGATGTGTTGTGCTTCCACTCAACCCTAACCGGTGCCCAAAGCACAGTGCTGACGACGACCTGTGCCCTCACTGGGGCTGCCACCTCCGAGGTAACAAAAAACTGGGACTTATCGTGGCAAGAAGGGTATCTCACAATGCCCGAAAATGGGAGAAATGCATATACATGCATTCATCTCGAGTGATGTATCTATTGTTACGCAACTGACAATAAACATTTGTTGTTGTTCCGATTTAAAGCTTTCGTGACTGCAGGGATTCATCTTCTTGGTTCTTTCGGTAAAGTCACGTAGAAGGAAAATAATAAAATAATAAACATAAAACATAATAAAATAATTCTCACGACGTTTCGGCCACAACGCAAGCAGCCGTCCTCAGGTGGAGAACAGGTCTGTCGAGGAGACAGAGTCTGACTTCACCGAAAGAACCAAGAAGATGATGTATCTATTGTTACGCAACTGACAATAAACATTTGTTGTTGTTTTATGCCCTGGTAAGACTTCTATGTTTGCCATGACAGTGACCTCAAAAAGAGGACGATCCTGGGAAAAGCAGGACGGGTGGCAGCCCCCGAGCGCTCAGCCCTGCCAAGTGCAAGGCAGCACCACCAGGAGTTAGGGGAGCAGTGCCACATGGCCATGGCCCAAGGGGCCAGGTTCTGGTCCAGCAACCCAATGATCCCTTTAACTTGGTCCAGAGATGCTCCCTTCCTGCACATATTTACTTCCCTGTATCTGTGATCATTGTTACTGTTACCACCGTTACGAATATTACATTGACTTACATTACGGTATTATCACCGTTATAATTCAGTTTTTTTTCTTCTCCAATGCGAATTTATTTCAGAATATTAGCCACTGGGCTGTTAATTACGTGTTTCGTACGGGTGTTACATTTTCATTTCAGGAAGCCCCTTGGGGGGGGGGGGGGGTCAATTAACATTACGGGGACAACTCGGCACTGGCACAACGAGTCTGGACACGATGAAGGAGATGCATGCAACCAGCTTAGCTCAGCTCGAGGAGCTGAGAGTATCGGTGTGACGATAAAAAACGCACACCCAACTTTTTCCCTTTAAACCACAGAGGGGAAACAAATAATGCGTCTCACAATTACGGTATTACATCCAAGAATTTTCACCAAGTTTATTTCTCAGCCAACGTGGCACCTTGTCATCGATTGCTACGTGAAGTATAGATTTCATTTGATTTTTGTGCTTGTGATTTACGGAAAAAAAGAAAACGCAGTGCTACGATATGGAGATAAGGCCTATGCTATGTCTTCCTATTTAGGACAGTGCGAAATGTACGACTGGTACAAATTAAACCTTGAAGGGTTTACAAAGCTGACCACGAAAATTCACCTCTGCTCACAATCAATGAGTGATGTTGAAATTGAATTACCTGTGACATGATGCGCCGCGTAGATATATTACTAAGTAATGATTATGTAGCACCAAGGACTGTATATGAAATTAACAGAAAAAATCTCAACGCCTTTTGCTTGCCTGTTCTATTCCCATTGTTATAAAATGCGGCCGTGTCTGCAATGTAAATCATTGCACAAGGTAGGTCAACCTCTATGCAATCTGCAGCCTTAGTCCAAAAGACCATAGAAAAGCAATTTACTTCAGTAATTTTCAGATTTGATGGAATCACTGCGTGTTTACCGAGCGGTAAAGGTGCAGCCCCTGCAAGTGCGAACGCAGCGGTTAGCCGAAGGGCCTCTGCTGGGAGGCAGCTCTCCAGAGGCCCTCTCGAGGGTATTTGGTCTACTCTTCCATGCGAGCCGGACACCTTTTGAAGTGGGATACCCACAATTTACCCCACAATTTACCCCACAATTTACACTGCTGGGCGGACAGAGGATGAGAGTTACTTGCGAAAACTTGCATCAAATGCCATGCCATGCCATTGTTATTTATAAATATAATAAGTAGCTTGCAAGTATTTTGTTCACACAAACTGGCTGTTGAACAGTTATGAATTATTACAGTACATTATTAGAATGATTTTTTTCTTTCAGTGGATAGCCTTCAGGGTTCTATTTGTAAGTAGCAGTGAGCTGCGGTGAAAAGGAAAGCACTTATTGTTGTATTTATATTCTTAGGTTTTTTCGGTAAAGTCACGTAGGTAAAAAACATTAAAAAGTAAAATAAAATGAAATAAAAATCACGACGTTTCGGAGGCAACACAAGCTTCCGTCTTCAGGTGGTACCGTCACAGCCACGACAGCTGTATCAAGTAAATGAGAGATTGCAGGGGCTACCACTCCGTTTATATAATGGTTGGAGAAGGTGGTGGGGGGGGTGACTTTACCGAAAAAACCTAAGAATATGAATCCTTCCAGTCACGAAAGCTTAAAATCTAGAAGTTATATTTATACTTTCTGTTTCCGTAAAATCGTTAAAATGAAAAAAAAATTAAAAGGTGGATTATGACATTGCAAGATCGTGAAATATGGTGATAGATTCACTAGGCCTTTATCATGACATCATACTAAATAGGAATGCAATTCACTTCATACTAAATAGGATATTCATAATCAACGTTTTTGGGTTGATATATTCGTCGCGAAAGCCTACGTGTTAAACTAAATAGGATACATCCAGGTAAAACTACTGCATGACCTATTTTGTTTTTAAAATTAGATTTATGTAGAATATGTGTGTGTGTGTGCACATGTGGGTAGCGGTTAGCGCACCGCACTACAATATCGGCGATCCGGATTCGATTCCCGCTCACGGCCAACATCAGTGACGATTATCTGAACCAGTCCTGGGCCTCCCCTAGGTCGACTCAGCCTCAATTGAGTACCTGGTGCGGTGTGTAAACAACGCCACTGGGGAGACAAAGGTGGTCGGGCGTGGTGCTGGCCACCCACCCCTTCATGTACCGTGTCGGCTTTCATTGGTACTCGGTCTGTTCAGGCTAGATGGGGGATCTTTATCGTTGTCTTTTATACACGTGTGTGTATATATATAGTATTTGGTGAATTATTTACGTGACCCAAGGTGGAGTTGTATTAATGAGAGTCTTATTTAGAATTCAGGGAATGGGTACATCGGCGTATATTCTCCAAAGATTCATGTAACCGCTAACTGGTCTCCACCATTATTTTACCAGCTTGCCATGAACATGCCCTGGACCATTTAATGAATGCTCCAGAATGCACCAAAGTGTTGCTTCATGAGACAGGGGAAAGCAGCAAATATTAACTTCATTGAACACTTAAGCGACCAACATTTATATCAGCTAAAGAGCCATTCATACGTTTTTTTGCCAGTCGTGTAACTGTCACGTGTGCCGGCAGAGCAGCTGAACTGGGGCCAATAGGCTAGAGGGTCAGAATCAGAATATTTATTTAGACTCGATCCTAGGCGCTAGGCTACGAAGAAGGGGTGGGCATCAGACGGGGTGGGACACGGGGGTGGGGGGAATTTTATTTATTTTTCCAAGACCCATGCCGCTGCGTTTTGCATCATTTGAGTTATTTCTTTAGAGGAGCGTCTCACCAAGATTGTGACGTAACAATTCCACTGAACCGGCAATAATGTCCACGTGTGTTGAATACATGCTGTAGGAAATGAGCTCACCCAGAATGGCAAGCACCATGTCATCCTTGAGCACCTCCATGGAGCCGGAGCAGACAAAGTAGAAAGCTTGGAGTGCATCCCCCTGGCGAATGAGGAACTCCCCAGGGGCACAGAACGAGGGTTTAATGCTGAGCGAGAGGGAGCGCAGGCAACCGCGGCTTGCTGACTCGAAGATGGCAAGCTGCAAGATCTCCTTGTTCATGTGCATGGCGATGTCTGCACGCAGCTCGTCTGGGAAGTCCTTGAGCAGCTGGTGGAGGAGGAGGAAGATGTGACACTGTGACACAAGTTGGGGGTGATATGATTCCCCCCCCCCCCACATTGTAATTGATGCCGACGCTCTGGTGATGTGTATGTGTGCGTCGGATTGTACGTGCGACACACGACTGTTTACAATACGTGAAACATTTTCGCGATTGTGAACCTCTAGGCAAAAGGAGCAAACGAGAGAGAACATGCGAGACCAACCACACAAATGAGACGGGCGAACAAGAACATTTGAACCTCCTAATTGTGATATTTCGCTGAATCATTGGGTAAGAGGTGAATCGTTATTTGCCAAGTTCTTCCACTAATCTACTGATGAGCAAAAGGGACGACATTTATTTATATATAAAATAGAGAACATCACGTGTTTAATTCCTTTGGCAAAATAATGCATAGTCCAGAGGGATCACGATGGACAGTACGTTTTGAATAAACTTTGTGGAGACCTTTGGTGCTAAATAAAACCATGACATATTCTTGGCATTATAAGAATACCATTTCAATGTTTGTCATGGGAATGTTTGTGTTGAAAACTGCATAAAAAATCGGTCTATAGTTAAGATGGTGAAGTTAAATATGAAACTATTTACAAGTGAGAATATGTTTAAAGCAGAGTTGTGTCGCTGTGAAACGTTGGGCTATATAAGGATAACAATGGTCTAAAAATTATAAAACTAAAACCTGCCACTTGCCCGGCATCTGCCTCTGCGTATGCTGTTTAATGAGACACTTAAGTGATAGCCATTCCGTTAAATATTACATCTCGTTTGTACTGATTTGCAACGTGTATTCCAAATAGCAAAAAAAAATACGAGTTCATTAGTGCCCAGCATTTTGAAACATGTGTCATGTCTTACAGTGCGCTGATTGGCCGCTCCTGAAGAACAGAGTAGGCCAATGATGGTAGGAACCAATGTCAATGAAATGCCACTTTGCTCACGTGATTTACTGTCATAGGGGACTGACTTGGCAGGATGTGCTTCATGTTCTATTGATCCTGCGGCCAATTCATCAACCTGTTCAGGTTATCTTAACTAGGGCACACCAATGCGGGGATGTAACTAATTATCACTTTCCCTAGACATATAATGATTCCCCCCTCGAGTGATTTAGTGAAAATTTCATAATTTTGGGGGGTTATGATCCGATTCAAGAACCGATATTTTTTTTAAACACTATATTATCCATGATAGAGGTTTTTTGGTTAGATCGCGTAAATATAAACGTGTCCATATTATTTGGGTCTTTCGGTAAAGTCACGTAGATAGGTTCAAAGAAATAGCAAAAAACTACGACGTTTCGATAGCAACACATCAGGCGATGACGAAAGACCCAAATAATATGAATCCCTGCAGTCACGAAAGCTTTACGTCAAGATATAAACGTGTCGTTAAACCTGCCACTACTCTGCGCAGCCAATTAGTAAGGTTAGCTACGTAAACAAAACGTGCTAATTCGTTACTCGTTCAGCACCCACGAACAGTAAATTGTAAACGTTGTGAGTTTACTCTCCGACACTCACCTCGATCGATTATTTCTCGTCTCAGATTTACCATCTCATCTGTATTTTTATTTTTTCTGTCTTCTTTGTATAGTTTTGTACATTCCATTAACACAAATATAACATCATTGCGTACAATTTTGCATAAAGAATTAGGTGCAATTTTCATAAATTATACACGGGCATAATAATACTAGGTTTGATGCATGTCTCGTTGCAAAATAAATATCGATTTTAATAAATTAATCGATGCATTGCTATTATAACACTCACTCACGTAGCTAATGAAACTTACTGGACATAAGGATCTTGTCGTTTTTTTTAATATCACAGTTGCTGAGCACAGGCCAAAAACCGCCCAGCGGTCAGCAACAAACAGTTCCACTGAAGGCACATTCGATAAAAGCCAGCAAAGTTTTCTTGACTCGAGCAAAGTCACACGAATTCGGGAAACGAAACGGCAGGATGGAACTCCAAAAGTAGAGCAGTGCGAGAAAAAAAGTAAAACGGTGAATTGTTTTCGCCTGGAGTGTGGTTGTTGTCGAACACAGCTGGGTAAGGTACAGAAGCGCCGGTCTCCGCGCTGGAGTGTCCGCGAGGCTGTGTGAAGTGCACGCACCTCGTGCGTGTCGATGCCGTTGTTGACGGACCACGTGGTCTGGAAGTACTCGAGCATGCGCTGCTTGAGCTGCTTAGGCAGGCGGTGCACGCGGATGAAGTCCTTGAGGTCCTTGGTGCGGGTGTGGTACTGCGAGCGGCGCGAGTACATACGCTGGATGATCGCCGTCACGTTCCCAAACACCACCGCGTGCATCAGCGCTGCCCGGGGGTTCGCAAACGGAAAGCGTGGTTGAGAATAATAGCAAGTGACCCGCACGCTCGCTCGGTGCGGTGTTCATCTCATGGGCGGTGACGTGACCCAGAGGTCGTGCGTTGGCCGCTTGTTGTTGCAGAGGATCGCGGTTCGAAAACAGCGGTCACCCTGATTAATACTGCGGGAGTATTAACCGTTAAATAGGCATTGGCTGCTCATACAGTGTCCGTTAAAGAGCACGGCCATGTCTGCCGATATCAGGGTTTGAATTAGACAAAAAATGTAATAACCTGCAAAATTACTTCATTGATTATAACCTCGTGGCAACGTCACCCATACTGGTAGACTATACTCGTCTGTGAAACAGAGCGCCTGCATCATAGCCTTGCTAATGATTTCATTTGAGATCCTTTGTTCTGATTGAATGCTGGAAATGTCATGTTTTTAGCAATGAGGACCAGTCTCTCCCATAGGACAATCTTTATGGAATTTTCCACAAAATTGTACTTATTTTACCAACCTCAAAGGGGATTACAATGAAGTCTATTGATCGCTTACTAGAACTTTAACTCATATCCTTTAACCACAATGCTATTCGCTGAATATATCATCATGAATTTGTTAAAATGTTACAAGTTATGACACATTACATAAAGATAATCGGCTCTCTAAGCCATGAAAACGAATGTGTCGATGTGGTTATGACCTATATCCCACAAATTGTGATTGATACTATAACAAAAATGTACATGCCAAAGTGACCTTATGAAATTAATCAAAAGCCCAGGGGTGTTATGTGTGGGTTCATCATTGCAATTGCAATTGTAATTGACAATTATTTTCAATGTCGTTTAATTGACAATTATTTTCAATGTCGTTTAATTGCTGAAAAATATTAACCACCCACATTATGCTCACAGTACAGTGATAATACTTTTTGCCTTGTATTTTAATTTTAAGCGAAGAGAAACCTTCCAATCTGTGAAAACCCAAACTAGTTTTCTGCACCGACACATATAAAATATAACATAAAGCTGAACAGTTGAAACAAATACATTTTTACTAAATGTTGCTCGTTGTGGAGAGAGGATAAATATTTAACACATTTTAAAGTAGTTTACGGCTAATGAGAAAGCAGACTGCATGTAGTAGAGAGGCAGAGATAAGGCGAGAGGATGGATGGTTGCTGACTTCCCAGCGTGCGATTGGTGCTAAGATAGTAGATTAGAAACAACCACTCTACACGGAGGGTGCTCATCAGTCCTGGCATGGCTCCCTTCCACGAGCAAAGAGGGTGAATACGCAACTCCATATTGTTAATGTCTTCACAAGACATCGTCTGTTACGGTCACCGACTGTGACGCATATTTTGTTTGTATGTACAGTAGAAAATCTTTTAAAAATATATATTAAATTAACAGTGAAACGCAGCACAGACGCAATTAAACCAGACTAAACCCAAAACATAAGCGCCTGTTGCCACCAAAAAAGATCCCTCTATTCTGTGTTATGAGCCTGCTTGCCTCTTCTATAATTGGATCGAATCATGTGTGGAATAAAATACAAACGCTGCTTTGAAGCGGCCCTTCTGTGTCGGAACGTATGGGGGGCTGCAGGACAGATTGATGGATCCCCTGGCCTCACAGCCTTACCTCCGATGAGCATAGCGCAGACGGAGAATATCTTCTCGGCGTCGGTGTTGGCCGACACGTTGCCAAAGCCCACGCTGGTGAGGCTGCTGAGAGCGAAGTAGAGCGAGGCGATGTAGGCGCTGCGTGTGGACGGACCTCCGCCCGTGTTGTTGGTGTGGAACGGTGTCTCCAACTTCTTGCCCAGTTCGTGCAGCCAGCCTGCAACAAACGGGTCCACGTGGGAAGCCTTTGGAAATCGGTTTAATTGAAAAATAATTGATACGAAGCACTGGGACGTCTCACGTTGGATTTGCCCAAATTAACGGGAAGAAAACATTAACACATTGGGAAACAGTACCGCCTGCTAAAGAGGACAAAACATATATTTAAGTCACATTTTAAGCAATGGCCCGACTTCAGGGCAGAGAGACAGAGAGGGCAGAGAGATTGAGTGATTCGTCGCTGGAAATTTCACGATGAGCTCTCTCAACTCTCTGGCCGCTTTCTCTATGCCATGAAGAAGCGCCGTTGCCCTAAATGTTGCCTGTTAGATTTGTTTCACACTTCATGGGAGTGTTATTGACAAATGTGTTTTTGTTTATTTGCACGCGTACACCGCTGCCAACACTTTGTCACACATTCGTGTCATATTTACAATGCTATGTTTGATTCGGGATACGCTATTAAATAGCTGTTTAAGCTAGCTGTAGGATATAATGTTTTGTTGTTATTTTTTTCATCAATTAAATAAAAAAAATTGGCCTGTGTCATTCTTACCTCTGTTTTTTTTTAGTTGCTGGAAAGATTGAATACGTTTTTTTCTTTTATGTAAAAAGAAAATCACACATGTACGGGAAAATAGCACTTTTAGGTAATATTAAGCTTGGCGATTACCCAGTGGTGTTCATTTTGGCACACAAAAGCCACTGTGTATTCCTGATACGTGTTTGTGTAATAACGCTATGGAATACACACTGACACCAATAAAGCCGCCCCTCCCCCCACTTCTCAGAAAGCTTACCAATCACAGATTCTGTCCAAATAGGCCTAAACCTGCAAAAAACACAATTCGTTTCTCCCAACACATTAATGCGTCTGCAGCTGAAACACACAAAAGAAAAAATAAATGGCATCCACTCTAATGCTTTTCAAATGTGTTGGATAGTCTGCCGCTCGTGTTTTATTACTGGCTTACATTTTCTTTGCAATCCAACTAAACATAGAGGAATTTGATTTGAAGGAAGCGGAAGAGATTATGGAAGTCTCATCTGCATGGCTTCTTATCCGACTTCAAATACAATGTATACAGCACTGTATACGGTGTGGTGTGTTTAGTGCGGCAACGTAGCAATTAGCGCGCTGTGCTAACACCAGTGACGATTATATGAACCGGTTCCTGGGCCTCACCAAGGTCGACTCAGCCTCAATCGAGTACCTGGTGTGGTGTGTAAACATCGCCACTGGGGAGATAAAGGCGGCCGGGCGTGGTGTTGGCCACCCATCGCCTCGTGTGCCGTGCTGGCCTTCATAGGTAACAGCACTTTCCACAACAGTCTGTTCAGGCTATATGGGGGCTATTTGTCTTTATATGATGTAATCACGTGGTGCACGTGTGTTAATGCAGCCCATGTAGAAACAAACAAATCGAGGAAACTATCAGAATGCGCGAGCCATGGAGTACACTGACTCTCGTATTCAAGTCACGTGTTATACTGGTAGGAACCCACTGGTTCCACCAGCCCACAGGGGATTATTGTGTCCGTCCGTCGTGCAGGGAGGGGCTGGGTGGGGAGGGAGGGGCTGGGTGGGGAGGGGAGGATGGGGAGGGGCTGCGTGGGGAGGGTGGGGAGGGGCTGGTCACCCCGTGGTGCCCTTATAAAACTCAACGTTTAACCTACTCACGCCGGCTTGTGCCCGCCCTCACAGTCGGGCATATTTGCGGAATACACCACGCCGCCGTTGACCCAGGCCATTGACCGAGAAACCCAATGTTCCTACCAGCTCCCTCCGCAGGACAATGTGTAATTCAAGGTCTGGGTAAACTCAGGCTATTTTCCCTTTTAAGATTTAAAAAGTTGAATGAATACTTAGGGGCCGTCCATAAATGACGTCACGCGATTTTTGACGATTTTTGACCCCCCCCCCCCATCGTCACACGGCGTCACAAAAAGTCAGACCCCCCCTCAAATATGACGTCACAAAGCTCTGCCCCCCCCCCCCCACAAAATAAAACATGCTTCAAATCTCTTTAAACTATTGTCATCGTAGTGCGTATTTAATGTGGCGCTGCACTCTGATGTTGTAGGAGAAAACATGTATTTAAAAGTCTGTTTACTTAAGTAGAACGTGTTGCCTATATTTATTTAAAGTTGCGCATTTTTACGTGACGTCACATTTCTCCCCCCCCCCCTCGTCACACATCGTCACAAATGTCTGACCCCCCCCCCCCCCAGGTGGGTGACGTCATTTATGAACGGCCCCTTACGTGAAATATCAACAAATAACACAGCCCCCTATCAATAGAAATGTGAAATTATCATCGCTGGCTAAAGTGCTGGCAACGGAGATGATTGTGTCCACTGCGGTGTGTTACCGCATGCTGTTGTTCAGCAAGTACGGACGTTTCGCTCCAACTGCGGGGGCTTCTTCAGGAACTTAATTCTCCCGTTACGTGGAATAAGCTCTGGAAATGATGTTGGCATTTACTTTGAACGATTTAGTTTCCCAGATTTGCTATGACTAAATTAATATATGCAGTTTAAAAACTAAAATTCACATTGTTAGATCAATTTATGTATTATTATTCTTACACTTCTTTACCCAGGAAAGCCTCATCGAGTCTCGTAACTCCCTTTCAAGCGGGTCCTGCCAAAGTTGTTTTCGTTCGCAGTCGGGGCGAGGTTGCTACGCGTAATCTCAAACGAGTATTCTTCAGGTCATTTTTATTTTCAGACTTGGGATGCTTTGGTTTTAGCTCAGGGAGGAAGCCAGAGAACCCGGGAGGCGACCAATGCAGAACCTGGGGAACAACTTTGAAACTCCCCACAGCAAGACACCCGAGTCGCGAAATGAACCCAAGCACTGCTTGCTGTTAGGCAAAATCATTACCCACTCGGCTCCGTAGAGCAAAATAGAGAGAAAATTTGGACATCACGCCCAATAAGAAGAGGAAAAAGCCTGAATGTACGCTGGAAAGCTGATTGCTCAAGGACACAGAGATTCCACTTGCCTAGCAGTGCCCCGTGCCCGCTTGCACTGTCACTGTGTATCACATTCCAAGCAAGCAGTTAGCGTGACGGTGGTGTGCTACTCACACAATGCAAATTATACGGTGTCATTACGCTCGAGTGACGCTTACTTTTGCAATGCGATGAAATGCGTACGTACAATCAATAAGCATCGCAGATTATAAAACGTTATGCGATAATATCCAAAGGGTTAATAACACCATGAACGGATGTACAGTAATTAGTCTCAATTATTTCACCAAACTATTTTCAAATTGTGAGATTGTATGACCAGACAATGCTCTAATTAGTAGGTATTATATTTTTATATGCACATGCTCTTCTCAAAGGTGCACTTCTGAGCCCAGAAAGGCACACCGTGTTCAGGTCAAAAGAGTTTCAGGATTGGAAAAACTGGGAACGTGGACAAACGAAATCCAAAATCATTGATAAAAATCGACGCGTGCACTCTCGCACTGCCAACATTGTTAATTCTGTACGTGCAGCTTCGCATACGGGAGCTTAGGCAATTCACTACCAAAACCTGAGTTCGATTCCCGGCCACAGCTCACATTGAGTGTGATTTCAGAACGATCCTGAGCCTCCCTTTGGCACACTCAGCATAAAATGGGGACCTGGAGTCACTCAAGGTCCTCATTTGGAGTGGTGGTTAAACATCGGCACTGCGGAGACTTGGATGGCCGGCCACTGTGCTGGCCACATGATACACTCATGCGCCGTGCCGACCTCAATACTGTAGGTGCTCCCTAACAGCAATTGCCCCAGCAGTATTTGAAAGGCTAAATATGGGGTATCTTTTTTTGTGCTTTTTAAAACATCGTTTTTGAAACTGGCTTCTGGGGTTTATACCTATTCCTGAAGTCGGACAACACACGCAGATTGTGTGCACGCACACACGTGAGCTCATCTTCACATTTATTTTGAAAATGTGTATCAGCTGATTTTAAGGTGATTAAACACTGACTGTTAGTGACATATTGTGCTTTAAGAAGTCACATAGGCTTTCGTGGCCAATATTATGAATCATCATATATTTTTGGGTCAGATCACGTAAATAAAATGTCTGTCGTAAACCCTCATCCAACCAATGACGCAGGTGACACATTTTGTTTTGTTTAAACGGAATAATACATATTTGGAAAAAAAACAAATAGATTTCTCAAAATCTTTGCCAGTATAATATCAGAGCCTTTAGAGGTCCGGAGTCCTGAATGCATTTATCTATTCTACGGCATTGTTTTACGTTCCCCTCACCGATGTCCCAGCTGTGACGGTCATTGGTTTCGATCTCCGCTCTGCCGATCTTGTACCAGATGCACGCCATCCAGTGAGCGAGCAGACCGAACATGAACATGAGCAGGGTGAGCACCACCGTGCTGTACTGCGAGTAGCGGTCGAGGTTCTGCAGCAGTCGCAGCAGCCTGAGCAGTCGCACCGTCTTCAGCAGGTGCACCAACGTTGTCTGGACACGCACACGGAGCTCTGGTGGGATGAGGCATTCTTTTGCAGAAATAGAAACAATTTCGTGCACACCCTGGGGCTGCGAGGTCACAATGAGTTGTTTTTTTTTTTCAATAAAAAAAGCCATGGTGAAGGAATGAAAACCGTTATTTACAACCAAGGGGCGGCCCACTGGGAACGCGGACACTTTTGGAAGTTGACTTCACCAAACCCTCACTCACCAGCAGTGGTGAAGTATGGTCAAACAACCCCGGCAGTGCATTGACAAAGGAACGCACATTCACGTATCCGAGCGCGGGAAAATAGATTTGCATAGATCCCAGTGATATGAGATCCAAATAACAAAGACAAAGATCTGTCCGTATAGCCTGTAACAGACTGTTGCGGCAAGTGCTGTTAGTGAGTGCCTATGAAGGTTGGCAAAGCACACGAGGGGGTGGGTGGCCAACATCGTTCCCGGCCGCCTTTGTTTACACATCGCACCAGGTCCACTTTTGAGGCTGAGCCGACCTAAGGCAGGCCCAGGACCGGTTCAGATAATCGTCACCGGCGTTGGCCGTGAGCGGGAATAGAACCCGGGTCACTAGGTTCATAGCGCAGCGTGATAACCGCTACACTACTGCTCCCCCCATATACAACCTTGATCTCAAACACAGATGGTTGAGGTAGGGGCCACTGGGGCTTAACACCTTAGAAGACCCTGTAAATGCATGGTCCATAGTCCTCATTGTGTCTGGTAATTCCCAACACAACCTCCCAAAGCATCTGGTGTGACACCGCCAATATTAGCGGCCACTTTCAGGGCACGCAAAAAAAGTCTGATGCGCGCACAGCAGAACCACTGTGTTACTTTACATACTTGGTTGCTTACGTGTCGTTTTAAATGTGCATGTTTAACGAGTGGCTCAAAGCGTTTTACAATTTTGCATGGACATTTTGTTTTGATACACGCCTATAATAAATAAATAAATGTCATTATACAGTATGTTGAGCAATACATATGCATGTATATCACTACATTTTAAAATAACTTCCACTGGGAATATTTCTTCCGGCTGAGAATCAGGCAAGCAAATGCCTACACATATATTGTTTGCTTATGGAAAATACACTGATGTTAATTAAAAGATGAAATTCGCTGCACATGAAATTTTCATGTATATGTAGATTCTAGGATTATAAAGCTGTGCACAGCATCAACAGGCAACTGAAAATATTAACTTAATTCAAACCACAAATATTGTGTAAACAACGAACATTTTAATTCGCATACTCATGATATATTCACTGCGGGATAAAAGCCTTCCGAAGGTTTCGATTTAAAGCTTTCGTGACTGCAGGGATTCATCTTCTTGGTTCTTTCGGTAAAGTCACGTAGTCCTGGTCTTCACCTGAGGACGGCTGCTTGCGTTGTGGCCGAAACGTCGTGATAATTATTTTATTATGTTTTATTTTTATTATTTTATTACTTCCCTTCTACGTGACTTTACCGAAAGAACCAAGAAGACCTTCCGAAGGTGTCACCAACTCTCAGTCACATGACACAACAACTCAAATAGATAGCTCCTGCATGTGAGCACCTCCGATTAGCACGGTTGGCTACGTACGGCGCGAAAGAAGTTCAACGTACATACACATCTCATTGCTTCACCTCCATGGAGGTCATCCTCTTGGATGTGTTCCCTGAGCACAACTGTGTACACTTCGTCACACTTTTTCTTGCGTGCACTTTTCAGCTTTTGTTCAAATGTTCTTTGTCAGTTGACATATTTCTGATCATTTGTCATAGCACGCACTATTTACTGATTAAAAGCTTTCTTCACGTGGCACACGGGTATGTTGCTTTTCATGAATACGTTTCATTTTCAAAATAATTCCAACCTGCTTTTGTTCACCTGTTCATTTCATATATTTTTTTTTATCCCGGTCTGCCTTCATTGACTGCCCTTGGCAAACTTGAAAAGTTATTTTCTGTTGCTCATTTATATCGAGGCACACTTTGATACTTTCTTTATTACATTCCTCATACTGTAGTTCATTCCCTTTGGCTGTTGTAATAACAATTTAATTAGAAAATCTGAAATAGGTAACAAAAACATTTTCACGTTTATGCCACGATTTTCCAAATCCAATTCTTATGAATAATATTTTAATATCGCTGCCAGCAGATTTCAGGAATGCATGTCTTCTCATCTGACTACTTTTCTAATATTTATTGACACTTTCTTCATAATCTTAGTGTGAAACGTCCAAGCTTGGACCTGGTCTTCATTATGGTTAAAGAATATATATTTAGGTCTTGGTTTGTAAGAGCTTGGGGTTGACTGCATCTGGTTCTCCTAAGTTAAATACATTTTCACAGTCTACAAAGGTTGCGCACAAGGTATCTGATGTGTTTTAGGCCTTCGATTAGAGGCCAACGGTTATCTAAATCATCAAGTCAGTTTCAATAGATTAATGATTTGGGTATTGTTCTATGACTGAGGAGTTTATTTCCGTGCAAACATTACATAATTCTTCTACTAATGACTGGTCCTGTTCCTCTGATGTCCATGGTTATACCATTTATTTGGTCCGGGAGCTTTTACGTATTCTTCTCCGTACCATGAAAGAAAGTGTTTGTATGACATCTGGCACTTCCCCTTCATCTGAAACATGGCTCACGTCCTGAAATATATGTCATTTATGCCTTAAAAATCTGCATAAATCCCTCTACTCTGTCAAGTGTTATGATTCCATACTTCTCCCCAGTGGATAATACTATTTGTGAATTGTCAATCATCAACCTCCTCTTTGCAGCTTTCATACTCCCATTGCTTGCTCGAACATCTTCAATGATGTGTTTTCTTCTCTAATTCAACTTCTCATTATTTTTCTAACTGTTTGAAGAGTTCTGTTTATGCAATATTTAGTTTCGCATTCCCCATCTCCTGTTTTATTTCGCCTTTTCCTCAACCTGTCTTTGTGGTTTTACATAATTGGTTGTCTGCTTTTTAACCTTTCACATCCCTCTTTTAATGAGCTGTCCTATTATTATTATTATTCGAGTACCATTTTGGTATGGGTTACCTTATGCAAAAGTAAGTAAAAGGTGTGGAGATGGGATGATTGGAAATCTTGACATTGGAGTGAGGAATCAGAATGATGATATTCTATTGGAGTTTGCGGGAAGCAGGGGCATGACATGAATTAAACACTTTTTCAAAAAGAAGTATCCTTTTAAATTAACTTGGCAGAGATGAAATAGTGAAATTAGAAATGAGATTGACTTCATTATAATGGACAATGCCTAGATTGCTAAAGATATCTCTGTTCTCAATAAAAACAACATGTGGTGATCGATGCCTGGTGCAATGTAGCCAACAAGAGGGGGAAACTAATTAGAGACAAAAACAAAATAGTCAACTAAAAACAATCTCAGATTTTAGACTCATTATAAACAACAGATTCAAATGCCTAGAGCAGCAAACTGATGAAATAGTTGTGATCACTTGTTTATTATTGATGGGTCAACATTTCATCTTAAAAGTATTAGTTTTGCTAAATGTCCCAGCAAAGGAAGCATGCATCGTTCAACAAGGATTAGGAACAGTGTCATAAATTGGTACCCTTAATTTTATTAGGACTAAAATAGAAAAAACGCAAAACATTTTGCAGACATAGCTCTGGATGTTTGATGTATGACCAGATATCAAAACTTAACGTGTGTCATAGAAAATGAGGTACAATATGTAAATTCAATCTTCCGTTTTTATATGGTTCATCAGTCCGAATCTACAAGCATGGCAGAAATGTTAATTTCCCCTTGCTGCTAGAAAAACAAACCTCATTTTAAATTTTCCTTGTTACTCAGTCTGCTATATTAATCGCTTGCGTAAACATGACACATTTAATGTTGGTTCATGACATCTTCATCTGATAAGGAAGATATTGTTTTATATTGTGGTAGTTAATCTATGTATGCATATGATGTTGTAATTTACTTTGAACGAATCTTACATTGTGCTACAAAGCAATACAAACGTTATCCATAATAGGTTTTTTTTTGGGTTAGATCGCGTAAATATAAATATGTCGTTAATCCTGCCACCACTTGACACAACCAATTAATAAGGCTTATCATGAGAAAAAAATATGCCAATTAGTTACTAGTTCAGCACACCAGTGTGTTGGGAGAGTATTTCATATTTTCCACATTGTAACATTAAAATAATGTATTATTATATTTGTTTTCCCAAGAAAGCCTCACAGAATCTCACGACTCCTTTTCAAGAGGGCACTGCCAAGTCTTCAGTGGGCGAGTGATGATTGCAAAGCGTAATCCCGATTGAGTGATTTGATACAAACGCACAACTGAGTTGCTCCATTTCTCTCGTCAAATTGTTTCATTTCACCTCCATCGCTACAAGCAGATGCTCAGAGTCTCCTGCTGGGTGCTCTGGAATGATGAATCACAGTGACGGGACATAATGAGTCCTCAATTATTGCCATAACTCTTCTGATCCAACTGAAATTGGTTGCTTATCGAAAATTTGTTGACCTCCAGAGTGAACCCTTCTAAATTATTTACTACCAAACATGACAGCACTGGATTAAAAATTCTCTATGTTGTTGTTGTTGTTGTGAATAACACACTGCCAATCACTCTGCTTTGTTCATGCTAAGCATTGACTCGTTTCAGAGCGCAGCCTTTTTTTAATGTAAAAATCAAATGCACTTGCAACTGAGCGAGATTATATTACGACAGGGCCGATGAGTAAATCACCCTTTATTATGCTCAACCTCATTAGATCTAAGCAAGCTTGGGCCTGGATAGTGCTTGGATGGGTTTTTTGGGTTAGATCGCGTAAATATATAATTGTGTCATTAAAACCCGCCACCACCCGACACAGCCAGCTAGTAAGGGTTGTCACGTAAACGGAACGTGGCCAATTCGTCACTAGTACAGCACTAACCGGTGTGTTGGAGAGCCAAGCCACAACATTTACAATCTGAGTACGACGTTTCGCCAGTAATTACAACTAGCTTCATCAGGCGACAGCCAGATTTGTGGAGAAGTCCACCTGTTTCGTTCCTTATATAGAGGCGTAGATGCGGTGACCACACTTCTGCACTCTTGCACAAAGTGGGGGGGGGGATGATTATATTGGATGATATTGGTCGCGAAAGCCTAAGTGTTATTAACCTGAGCTTGGATGGGTGTTCACCATGTGTGAAGCAGGTAGGTTGCTGTAGGCTGCTTCTGGGCAGTACAGCAACATCCGTTGATGTATTGAACTTTGCCTTCCCAAAGTCTATGCTCCCCACCTTCACCAACCTCCATGACCCAAACAGTGTGGGGAGGCCATCATCCAGAAGTGGAATGAGAAAAGGTCAACGTGTGTACATATTAGCATATTTATTTAATGATTGTGAGAGTTGCAACTATGGGCTGCTGTATTTGCATGAAATTTTGTGAATGCTGCATTAGTTTCTGGTATTATGATGCATCCGTGCTGTTCAGGATGATTCAAATAATAAAACAAGACGTTCCCCCTAAGCGCATTTGGATATATGTATGAGATACGCTTTACAAATCTAGTGAGCGCTGATGAAATTTAAGGAGCTGCCAAGAATGTTTAAAATGTTTCCCATGTTTGTCCTCCAATTGCACAAAACGTTAGCGCCGCTTACAAAAAAACCCTTGAAACACAGTGGTCATGTCAAATTCTTAAAGCATGAATTCAATACACTCTTTCACCTTCCTTAGTAATTACATTTTTTTATTATCACATTGCAATTGTTCCATCATTCTCCGTATTACTGAATTGAAGTGTATGACTACATCGGTCGAATCAGATTTGTCCCAAAATTGTCATCATTACGTCGTGTATGAATTCAAACAAAACAAATTATGTGTGAATTAAAAATGAAGTCACATTTATTAAAAAAAAAAATTGCTTTTAAAAACCTTTGTGCAAGATCACCTGTTCTTTCACCCGAATTCATATTTCTTGTTGTTAAACGATGCATTTTATTCGCCATCAATAAATTATATCGCGGCTACTGTAATTTTAGCAGGGCCATTGGCTTCGAGCATCATCCAGAATTTGAAACGAAACAAGGATCGTAAAAAAAAAAATACCTATTTGATGTAAATTATGTAAAGTTGTCTTTTTGCGAGTGAATGTTGTCTCGTCCATACTGTGCTCAACCACCACACCGCAGGTCATAACACTTCTCTTTCTTCATTCGCACTCCTTTACGTTGATGTTTATTTATTTATTTTTTGTTATCCTATACGACCAGTTCTTTTCAGGAGATATCAAAACTCCAGTGACCCACTGGATTTAAACAAGTCTTCGTACGTAACACAAGGATGGATGTCCAGTCGCTGGCAAGATACATCTGATTTATTGTAAAACCTGTCAGAAGACGACACACCACGCAAGTGCCAGGACTGCTGGACAGTGACTTGCTGGTGGGATCAATGAAGGAAAAAATCAGCACCATGTCAGTTCCTTTCGCGACCCATATAATGAATTATAATTGATTTCAGAATCAGAAGATGAATTGATACTGGAGAAATCCCATGAGCTGTAAGGCTCTGTTTCACACATGTCCAGTTAGGGCAGGTTAAAACGTGACAACAACAACAACCACAACCAATGACAATATACATAACAAGAATAGGAAAGGTAAACAAATCGCTTCAAATAATATACAAATAAAACTAAACACGTATTTTTATCTTACCAGGTAAAGCCCACTGAGCTATTACTATTTTTCAGAATGTGACCTGACCAAAAATAATAGCCCAACAAAGTGGCTTTTCACATTTTTTGGGGTCAGATCACGTAAATAGAAAATCAATTGTAAACCAGTTCCTTATCACAGATCCTACAGTGAGTCTATACACCTGGTTTCACCCTGCCAGACCCGTCAGCGGGCTTTGCTGAAAAGGTTCCCAACAGGGCAAAGTCTCTGTTCTGTTCATATGTATGTATGTTGAACTTATTTTGCTCAAAGTACTATGGGTGTCCAGAAATGGTAAAGAGAAACCTACTCCTACTACATTGTTTGACAAACATCCTGGTAATTTTTCAATCTGCAGTTTTCGCCATTAAACAAGATCACGTATATTCTGATTGAGCTGATGGTAGAACCTTGAAGTAAACAGTAACCACACACTCAGTAGGTTCAGTCAGCAGGTAGTAGTTGTAGATTCAATATAATTATAGGATAGTAGAATGCCTGAGAGCATATCCGTTATCTAAGCAATAACCCACAAGGAACCCATTCCTAGGACATCCACAACATTTATTCACAAAAATGAATGGTCCTTTGTACGGAAACCACTCTGACTAGACATTTTTTAGTAGGTAATAATATTTAAAACAAAACCATATTTTGATTTTGCTGCCATTGTGGCCTGCTAGCAACACCGTTTTTTCCCTTCCCACCCCCCCTGCACCTCCGATTAGCACGATCAGTGTGAAAGAAGTTCAACATACATACGTAGCATCGGTTTAGCCAACATGAACAATAAATGGGCAATAATATCCGTACGTACCACAGAGATATTAAATGCATAGAGGAGGTCAAAGGGCAGCGCAGCAATGAGGTCGATGAAGAACCAGGTGGTTACGTAGTGCACGCAGATAGAGCGCCCATCGTAAACTACTTGCCCCGACTTGCTCACATATGTTGTGCGAAAGTTGAGCAAAATGTCTGTAGAGAGACAACATAAACAAAAAAAAGAACAGGCATAAATAATTAGAGCAATCCTGGTGGGCCTTGATCTGAGTGAAAAAGGCAATGAATGACGGCAAAAAGGGGAGATTCTGTCATTCTCATCGTCAACCGCTATCTACCCACCGCCGAATGAAGGCATCCTGTTGCTATCTCTCACGATTCCCCCAATGCGACAATCCTGTCTAGCTGATGTAGGTTGAAAGCTCATTTCTTTAGGCACTGCTTTCTTTGCGTGTAGCTTGTTGCTCTTCCCCAGCACATCCGATTCGGACGCTTGGACGCGTACGGTGTGAAAGAAATTCAACACGCATTGCTCCCTCTCTGCTGTGGGTGTCCTCTTAGATGCGTTCACTGCTTTGGCTGCCACTCGCTCATTATTCTCGACCGCTGGTCAACGTCCCTCCTCGCAACGCGTCCTGCCCAAGCTCATTTGACTTTTCTTAAGAATGAATTTGAAGTGTAAATTTACGTCTCTGGCAATATTTAGCTTTTTCAATATTAAGTTCAGTTTTACAAAAGCACTCCAAACTACTCTCGTCTGCTTATTTATTAAAGAATTTTTTTTTATTCTGGTCTCCCTTCAATATTTTGGCCAAGATAGTATGCACTCTTGTGTGTGTTTCCAGTTGCGTCCCTCCAAGAGGGATATTAAATTGTTTGGGGAACTTGATGTAACTACGTTTTCTTGTAATGCGTTTAACTTCAGACTAACTTTGTGGCTTTATTGTTTGTTAATACATTATTACGTCATTTCCCTGTAGAGCATTACCATTGGTTGTTATCATGGATGTCATGAGCAGCTCTGAGATGGTCAAAATATTTTCACCATTTACGTTCCACTCCTTTGCTTCTCCAATCCAATGATCATTACACATTCTCCATTGTCACTGTGAATGACTTCGGCTTCAGTGTGTCCCCATGATACTTTCTTCTTCATACAACCTTGGTGTAATCATATGCGTTTCATTTTTTTTTGGGAAATGAAAGCTAACTTATTAAGACTCTGAAACTATATTTTTATAGACCTGTTCATTAATATTGTATTGTGTTTACAACATCGTGGTAGTCGTGTAAACTGTAGCTACTGTTAAGTTTCAAAATATGTTTCATGTTCTATAACAACGTAATAAATAATGCATCCGATGTTTTAGTAATGATCGCAGTTATATATCACTGTGATACATATATATATATACATTTGCCGAAGGCAAAAGTAACGGTGCAATTTTTTTTGTTTTAATGAGACGTAAAACAATGTAAAAAAGAAATGATGACTAATTTCACATGCCAGATATAAACTGTGGTAAGAATTGTGTGATCTTCGGTATCCAGCATATATTATGCAACATTCTGATATGTGAAGGCTAGGCATGACAACCACAAAGAATAATTGATGAAATGTAACTCCGGCAGAGTTAACCTGCCAGCTCATTAAGAAGCACAAAACATGCAATGCATTTGGTACTTTCAGCATAATTAAAATGCATTACTATTGTTAATGCTTGAACATTTTTGCGAATATAAAATTTTCGTCCATAAAATAATGGCTCATGTACACATTGCTGTAAAAGGTGTATGAGTGTAAACGCATAACAAAGTTTGGCTTGAAATTAATAGGAATACATATTAAGCAAATGGTTATTTATAATTGTTATACAAGTTAGATAAATACAACGAAATAAAAAAAAATCCTACAAATACTAAAATGCGTGAAAATATATTAAATACAGTTTCAGCTTAAAACACAAATATACATCACAGCTGTTCAATTAACCAATATGTGACGTTTAAATTAAATGTGTTCGTGGATACATTATATATTTTTTCTAAAATTTAGTTTAGCATCAAATCACATAAAGCTAGGTAGGTGGGTGGGACAAAGAGTAAATGGCGTATCAGATAAATAATCTGATTCTGCGGAGATACTAAGTTCTCATGCGAATGGCCATTGCTGATGAACCTTGCTTCTTAATCGTAGAAAGTTGATGGTCTCAGCTTGGCCAGCAATGACTGTAAAAAATAGAAACACCAATCTTGCTTATTGTTATATATATAAATGTCCGTGCCTTATGTTTACACATTTTTCGGTGTGATTGTCATGCAGCAAACAATTCTAGCATGGATAGGTGCCACGCTTGGGATGACACTTGGATAACAGAAAATGTACGTGCACAGGTAACAAACACAACTCAGAGAGAGCATATGTTACTGTTAATAAAAGTAAGTGACAAGTAAGCAACCTTGGGCAAAGGATGATGATCACGAGAAGGGATGGTGACCGATTAACAAGACTGCCGACAAAATCACAGCCAAGTATGAAAACCTGTCTGCGATGATGACTGCAGTGGAGGTGGAGCGATGCGATCAGCCAACTCGCGGGCGTGAGATGGATGTTGGCATTGGCGAACAGCAGTGGATTGATCCTGGCTGTTGATGAATGAATCTCAGGTGTTGATTATCACCCTCCAGATGCTATTCTCTTATATGGGACGATACATTGACTACTGCGAGAGTTGTTCAACCTCAGTGGCAGGATGCCGATGAGCAGAATTTAAATTTGCATGTGTCTCTTGGCTGAAATGCAAAGGAGCCAGCAACAAACAGCACTATTGAAGGTGTCATGGATGCGAGTTGAGCAAGATTGTAACAAACTTGGGATAAGAGACAATGATAAAAGGCAATGATGAGAGACAATGATTAGAGACAATGAACACATTCCTGCAGAGGGAGCTGGTAGGAACGTTGGGTTGGTCGGTCAATGGCCAGGGTCAACGGCGGCGTGGTGTATTCCGCAAATATGCCAGACTGCGAGGGCGGGCACAAGCCGGTGTGAGTAGGTTAAGCGTTGAATTTTATAAGGGCACCACGGGGTGACCAGCCCCTCCCCACCCAGCACCACCCCTCCCACCCCCCACCCAGCCCCACCCCAGTGGGTTCCTACCAGTATAAGAGACGATGATAAGAGACAATGGGAGGGAATTCCCAAGTGGAGCAGTAGGAAGACGCATGAAAATAAGCTACGTGTGACCAGCTGTACGGTGGTTGAAGAAAGTGTGGATGAGACAAAATATGACTTGAAAAAGGAAAAGAAAACACTAAAACTGTTACTCTTTGGTTCTTTCGGTAAAGTCACGTGGAAAGAAAAGAAATTACCACCTCTCTCTCTGCCCCCCCCTCTCTATTTAAGGCCTCGACACAGAGGCATTGGGTCTCTGTGTGTCTATGTTGTGTGTCTCTCTCTGTGTGTCTCTGTGTGAGTCTCTCTCTGCTTGTGTGTCTCTCTCTGTGTGTCTCTGTGTTGTCTCTCTCTGTGTGTCTACATTGTGTGTCTCTCTCTCTGTGTGTCTCTGTGTTGTCTCTCTCTGCTTGTGTGTCTGTCTGTGTGTCTCTGTGTTGTCTCTCTCTCTCTCTCTGCTTGTGTGTCTCTCTCTGTGTGTCTACGTTGTGTCTCTCTCTCTGTGTGTCTCTGTGTTGTCTCTCTCTCTGCTTGTGTGGCTGTCTGTGTGTCTCCGTGTCTGTGTTTGTCTCGCTCTTAAATTTAGTTCTACATGATGACGGTTGCTTGTATTGCAATCGAAACGTCATATTCTATTATTTAATTTATTTATTTTCTACGTGACTTTACCAAAAGAACCAAAGAGTAATTCCTGCAGTCACGAAAGCTTCAAATCAACTAAAACTGTTGTTTATTCAACATTAACCAATGCTAACATATAATATGGTGTGAGAATGTGACAAATAAGTTTGGTTATCATTCAAGATTAAAAACGCATGTTGAATTTGAAGTACAACCTAGGAATCGTTAATCATTCTGTAATTACCATGTTTCCCTCATTCGTAAATAATATGTTGTGAGTGATGCGCAAATGATGCAGAGTGTGTGATGCATTAATTCCACTTTCAAATTAATTATATTTAGCAGCTTATATATGTCACTGTCTGTTTTGGTGATGTGTGTTTAAGTGGGCTCCCAACGAAATACCCTTTGTGTGCAGAACAGGATTCCTCTAAAACTTGTTAAACATCAGACAGGTGGTAACAGTTGACTTTTTGGAAACCTCATTCTAAAGATTGAATATTTTTCCATTCACAAATGGTATATGTAAACAGGTCAGATACACTCAGCCAAATATCATTCAGGCTTTGGCAAATTGCCTTTCAAATTACTTGATTTGTTTTTAAACAGCAAGGGGTGTCCAATGTTTAAAATTATAACGGTTGCTCATTGTATTTATATAGGCAGATGATCACAATGCTATCAACACTGCACAGCTGTTCTACTTTGTTATATTATAGACAATTATAATGTGCCATCTAGATATGTAATGTATGCTAAGCGTGCTGTACTGGTCGTGCATGTATTTTTATTTGTTACGTAACTTTCTCTATGCAATCCCATTGCATCTGTTTCAGCCTTACACACATTGTTTTATATACAGTAGGTATTTTTTTAGATGACTGTGTGGATATTTTATAAAGGTGCTTTATGAAAAATCACAATCAACTATGGTATAAGTTAAACTCATGCTGGCACTCTCATTGTAATGTTCAAGTTAACACTCACAATTAACAGCAAAAAACCATTTGTATATCCTGCCAATATTCAGCATTTAAATTGCATCATATTCCTTTTTCATAATTCTCACTGAACCCAATTTATGTAAGCCCAAAAACTACGTTTTGGTTACTAATTAAAATGAGTTATAAGCATCATGCTGAAATGATTAAATGTTATCACACGTGGTCCACCTTTGTTGAAATTAAGAGCCATTATAAATAATCATGCCTCTGATACAATGTTTGCCAATATGGGGGTCCAAAATTTACGCCAGAAATGCTGAAGTTCACCACGGGCTCCGAATTTGGGATAGTTGCACAGCTTCCCCCCACCGGGAAGTCAACGAAAAACAAATGTGGTTTTCACAACTGCTACTTTAATGCCTTAAACAACTGCACGGACTCTGTGGGATGACTAAAGGGTTCACCGCGTGACAAGAATGTAACATTTCCTTGGGGTGCTTCGTAAGTTCCGGATTTAATTGCCAAGCTTATTACGTCCTGTTGCTGTGTTGTAGGCCAAACAATCGATTAACAGGAAGTGAGATGAGCCTTGAGCATGAGTAATAGAGTGTGCCTGGTGGGACATGCCTCCCTAGTGCTGGTCTTAATTAACACAGCTCTGCTCCACGCGTCTCCAGATCAAGATCCCCCATATCGCTGTGTTCCAAACGACACGTCAGCATCCTGCAACTTAAAATACAAACTTCCATCGCAAACCCTGTAAAATAACAACACTAAATATAACCGAATGGTTTACCATTAAAAAGTGTACACCAAATGGAATCAATGATCATATACTGTACTAAGAAATCAGTTAAGGGTGATCGATATACAATAAGCAATCAGGAACATCGTTTGCATTTATATATTTAAATAGTATTTTATATACTGTATTATATGTGTATATATATATGATTAGATATAAAAAAAATGTTTGGTGAAGTATGGGTTTTCATGTTAATTTAAAAAAGATAATGGAAGATGGTCCAATATATTTGGGCATTCAAGCACTGTGACAAATTCAAATAGCCCAAGATTAACCATTCGACTGAGAGTTCCTCTGAAGGACCTTTAAAACATTACAATAATCAATACACTTCCAAAATTGGTTCCGTTAATGAGAACATTTCTACTGTCGCTCTTTTTTGTTGTTGTGCAGAAGGTGGCCAAGACTGTGCGCATATATGGGTTACCCTACCTCGATTATCTACAGTAGCGTATAACAGAGCGTCCAAGCAATGCAGTTTGTTGTTTTCTTTTTGTGCAGTAGCAATGCCTCCAGTTATACCAGCTCAGCCACAGTGACGCTTTAGAGGCCATTAAACATTTGCTTGAAATGCAACTCCTGGCCTCTGCTTTCAGTTTAGTCATAACAGTGGGTGATCGGTGCTTTTTGTTAGCACGGCATCCAAACGATGCCACTTCAAATCAGGCAATCAGATTGGGTAGATATATTTAAGTCTGCTTTGAAAACCCATCTCTTTAAAATGGCCTTAACTCTTTAGTTTGGTGGGTTGCCCCCCCTGGTTCTGTTTTTGTTTCCTGCTTTTCATGCATTATTATCATAACGGTGGAGGTATCCTCTAACAGCACACATTGTCGCATGCCTGGCAGTGCTCACTATCCATCATTTAAGAATGCAAAGGTTACCAGACCTTGGTTAATTGGCACCAATTAAGACATTGCATATAAATCAAAGTTAAATTAATCTATGAAGGCCGTAACTTCACTTGAAGATTATAAGGAAAAAGCTTGTCAATATACACCCTTGACATGTAAAAAAAACGCTGACTTAATTGCCCTGTTAATGCAAGGCTCTGCTAACATTGCTGCTGTGCCAACAAAGTGGGGGGTAAAAAAAAACAACCTGAACAAATAACACAAAACCTCGTAAACACAACCAGAACACGGGGCGTTGTGACAATGCACTGCCAATATAAACCAAGAGACCCCCTCCCTCCCCCCACACTAAAAGCTGAACAACGAGTGAGGTTAAAGTTCACGGTGCATTGGGTGAGCGCGAGTTGTATGCCCAGTATAATAATCGGTTTTTTACCCTTTTATCTGGCACAAAACTGACACATGTTTTACAAGGGATCATGTTTGCATTAACCACAATACCTGCGGTCAAAATGCAAAAAAAAAAACAGCACTCTGATAATGTATGCATTGTCCTTGAAATTGATTTGTCCACACCACATGAATAGTACTCATCTCTACGGCGATTCTCAAATCAGTGGTGGGCATTCAAACGTCTCACAGCGAGGACCATTCCCTCAGTGAGACTAGTACTACTCACCTCATCACAGGTTGGTGCTCATTTACAATATGATCGGTTGAGTCGATCCCCTGCCTGACCCGAGATTTGAACCATCAACCTTTCTCACCATGAGTCAAGAGCTCTGCTGAACGACCATCTGGCCAAATTGATGAACGCGAACAAGCGACTGTTGGACGAAGACCTCTCTTCAATGGGGATGTGTTAGCCATACTTCACCGAACTGGTCAACATGAGTTGGTGGAGGGGTGTGCAGCTATGGCCGGATCATTTGTTAGATATGGCTGGGAAGAGAATACACGGATCCAGATTCGTAGCAGAGTGCACTAACCACTGTACCACAGTTCCCCCCACCAAGGACAGAAATAATAATTATGAAACATGCCTCCTGTTCTGATGCAGTGACATGTATTATATGAGGCCTTCATACAGTTGTGGATAGTTTAACACGTAAGCTTTTGGGTTAGATCATTTAAATATATAAATGTGTCGTTAAATTGGCTGTGTCGGCGGGTTTAACGACACATTTGTATATTTACGCGATCTAACCTAAAAAAAACTGTATTATAACTGTGCATAGATCATGACTCATGATTATAATGAGAATGTTCTTACGTGTGTGCTTCTGCCTCTTTGGATAAAGTGAAGTGTCCTGGCTGACTATCACACACACATTCAATTTGGGTAGCTACAAACGTGTAGCAAAGAGCAAATATTGGTCTACTTCCTGCTCAAATCAGTGACTGAGCATTCGCTAACACTTTATGAACAAGAACCTAATTCGCATTAGATTAACAGATAAATTAATGTGCAGTGGGTTGACACCAAAGTAAACCTTCTGTCGTTGTCTCACAGCTGGTCATGAATAAACGACAAATGAATTTCAAAACGTGTTTTCAAAAGCCCACGCCACGAGAATTATTGATGTTGGCGCAACCAGTTTAATATTCAGAAAGCTTAGCAATGAATGAACAGTAAGGCCCAGTAGGCTATGAGTGACGGTTAATTGTTTGACTCTGATGCGGCCGTGCCAGTCAGCAGCAAACATTATCATCATCATTTGGTGAAGTAAGTACCACTTTGCGGGACGTCAACAGTGACTGTGTTACGGACTAACGAGTCGACACAAAATAAATGTTAAACTACCCCCATTGGTTCAAGAATAGGAATGGAATGGGCCCAGCATGACTCTCACTTAAGAATGTAACCTTGATTAGAAACAATTCCTCATTACTGATTACAGTTAATTCGTAATCTCTCCCTTAAGTTATCCTTGCATGGAGATGCTCTTTTGCTGCAGTTGCAATTGGCTGCCCCTGCATGATGTACGCTGTAGTGACTTAGGGTCTCGCGGGATATTGGGAATGCACATAAATGTGCCTGTGCGGCAAGGGAATGATTAGGAAACATCAAAACAGTCATAATTTCCACACAACCTTCGATATCATTTGACGAAATATAAATGCCATCATTTTGACGGTGAACGAGGCATTTCGGGTTCTGTGTTGGGAGTGCTGAAGGACAGAATGTGAAGAGCCCAGTGTCATCGCTTTGACCCAACATTACTCACCAATGATGAAGAGAATCTCCACGGAGATGTCAACGACGGCCGTGCTACGCGGGTCCGATATGTTCTCAACGGTTTCGGAGAAGCAAACATTGTAGGGCACGGTCACAGCCACGTAGAATGTGGCGAGAAGGATAAGCAGGTCCCAGCCTGCTTTGAACGTGCCGTAGTGCAACAGGATGAAGCGAGACTTCTGGATGGCTGCCACCTTGTACTCGGGCAGTGAAGGCTTTTCGCCAAAAACGTTCTGGGTGGAGAAAAAAAGGAGATTGAGTACAGGGAGTCTCTGCACTGCTCACCGCATGAAGGGATATCAAACAAAGAGAAGCAATTGTGCCCAATGCATGTTGAACTTCTTTCGCACTGTACGTAGCCAACCGCTCTAATTGGAGGTGAAGGGGAAGGACGACAAACTAAACACAATAAGCAGTTGTATATAAATGAGTATTCAATGTAGATTTAAAAGTGAATAGCTCCAGTGGCTTCCTAATATCAGAAAGAAGAAGCGTTCCAGATGGCTGCAAAAGTACATGTGAAAGCGCGTGATGCAGTGACCGTCTTTGCTCGATGGCTAGCCAAAAGCCGCTCCGAGGATGACCAGAGGTCACGTGATGATTTATGCTCCTTGATGAAATCAGCAGGATGCTGCGGTTCATTTGTGTCAAGCACTTTGTGTATAATGAGTGCGACCTCATAAATGTATTCGTTCGGCAACCGAAGGCATCTGCCGACGGTGGCAGCTCTTAAAATTCTCCTCGAATCACCAGAAAATAAATTAAACAAGTGATATTCGGAAGTGCTTTGGAAAATGATCATTTGGAGCCAATATTGAAGTGTGATGTGCATATATATGGTATGTCAAAGATACGCAGTGTTTTTGGCTTCACTATACATTTTTGTGAGCACACCAGGTGTCCCAAATTAACTGGTGGCTGACGATACCAACAGGACGGTATGTACAGGTATGTTTGGAAATATTATAATATAAAAATATTAATTATTTAAAAAAATAAAAATATGAAGTTCATTGGAACATTGTCATGATTTAACTTAATGGGAATTGTTCTCTCCATTTTCGCTCGTGACACATTTGCCATGCTCGGGACATTGAAAATAAATATTGTAAACGTGTTCTTCTGTGTGCCTGAGCACCATGTGTCAGGAACTTGAGTACTGCAATTGAATTGGCACATCACATTGCCAAGTCCACACAGTTTGTCTCTCCTGTTTCATTATTCATTTCCTCTACAGCACAACCTGCTGTGCCTTTAATGTCCTTACTTTTCTTCTAAATTGGATAAAGCACTTTTAGGTTCAGTTTTTAATTGTCAATAAGAAAAGGCAGTGGATACTCCGCAGCACAATGAGTTTAAAAAAACAGTGCAAATTAAAAAACATACAAACACAAACATGGAAAACTCTAAATCCACATTACAAATACAATATTGCATCGGAGTGAAACCATACACTGTGACACTCTGCCTGAATCAAAACATCTCCAGATGCGGCATGCAGTTCGTTTGATCTGCTCGCACAATGTTTCAGGTCTGGCTCTCGGCGCTTACATTATTGATCTTCAGCTTGTTTTTGTCCTGCTTCTGCAGGTGTCCAGAGAGGTGGTAGAGCACCGCTCGGCTGCGACGGCGATTCGGGTTGAAATTCGCCCCGAGGGCACCACCGTCCCTCCTCTTGTGCGCCACAGGCTGGCCTGTAGAGCACGTACGGCCCCCCCGCAAAGCACAACGTGAGCACCCACCACAGAGCCGTGCAGCACGTGGCGAGATGGTTATCTGCCTCGCCTGGTATACAGGAAGTCGTGGGTTGGATAGCCAACCATGACGATGCCTGTATATTTAGAGTTTGCATGTTCACCCCGTGGTCGTGTGGATTTCTCTCCGGGTCCTCCGGTTTTCCCCCTCCATATTTAGAATCAACGTCACGGCGTTTAGAGTGTGTTGGCTGCTAGAAATTTCCACGCGAAAAGCCACTTCGTTGGGGCTATCATTTGTGGCGAGGTCGCTTCTGCAGAAGATCTACACAGTTCAGCGGGCCTTACCTGATAGAATAAAACAATAGTTTAGTGTAGAGCACTGCCTGTGACCAAATCACCTGCCACGACCCCGATCTTGTCAGACCTCAGAATCTAAGCAGGCTTGAGCCTGGTGGGTACCGCTTGGATGGGCGACTCACGCCGCGCATTAAAACAACAACCGAAAGAGGCTTCGCAGCCGTTATTGGCAGTGGACCGCGAGAGCAGCGAAATCCAACGTTGTCTTCTATTGCCTTTGACTTTATCGAGTGAGATAAGGCCAGTCGAGCTGAAGAGCTCCCTTTGAACGGCGACCTGTGTTGTTCCGTACCCAGATCTACCTTCACCAAACTGCCCTCGCCGGTCCCGTGAAATGTGGTCAAATGCCACTCACGGCCCCGCCTGCATGGGTGGCCCTCATCCAGCAGTGGATTGACAAACAGGGCTGCACGCGCGCGTGTTGAGCTCCACATCTGGCACTGTATTCCTTCAGTGCTAAGCCTGTGTTTGCAGCCGAAAGTCACTGTGAACAACTGGTCACCCAGATTAAAACGTGGAACAAATAATGACTCAACGCCCGATTTGCATACACAAAGGAGGCGTCTTAGCAATACGCTCCGCTGATCCTGATGCAATTATCTGGTGCAACCACTTCGCTGTAAAATTAGAGTTATTCCTCTAAATCAATATCAGCCATAGCAAGAAGAAGATTGGGAACTTAAGATATCTATATATATAAAATCGTTCATGTCTGTGTGTCTGTGTGTGTGTGTGTGGACTGCACTTTCATTGGACGGCGGTTGCCCCTGGCAACGGCTAGCCACGCCTTCGCCGCTTTCATTGGACGGCGGTTGCCCCTGGCAACGAGTAGCAACTTTTCTCCGCGGGGTGGACGCCATTTTTAATAGCGCGGGGGGGGGGGGGGACCGGCACCCGTACCCAGCGTTCGCCGGGTGGGAAAATCAGGCAAGGCGGGAGGCTCTGCACGGTGCTAGGCCTCGACACCCAACACGCCACTCTGAGGTAAATTCATACAAATTTCACGTCCTCTACAGAGTGGCGACGGAGGCAGAGTGGCGAGGGAGGCAGAGTGGCGAGGGAGGGACTCAGCCTCAAAACGAGTAACTGGTGTGGCGTATTAACATCGCCACTGGGGAGACAAAGGCGGCCGGGCGTGGTGGATACAAGTCCCGGGCAAAGCCGGGTCATGACTATGTGTGTATGTGTTTATGTGTATGTCTCTGTGTCTGTATGTATGTGTGTATGTATGTGTCTGTATGTGTTTGTGTGTATGTATGTGTGTGTCTGTATGTATGTGTGTGTGTATTGTGTATGTGTTTGTGTGTATGTATGTGTGTGTTTGTATGTATGTGTATGTTTGTGTGTATGCATGTGTGTGTCTGTGTTTGTGTGTATGTGCGGTTATGTATGTGTGTGTATGTGTGTGTCTGCAGCAAGCGCGTGTATGTGTACCTATGGACGCGCGCGCGTGTGTTGTGTAGGGGGAACGGTAGTGTAGTGCTTAGCGTACTGCCTGTGTCTATGTGTGTGTGTGTGTGTCTGTGTGTGTGTGTCTGTGTGTGTGTGTCTGTGTGTGTGTCTGTGTGTGTGCGTGTGTGGTGTGTGGGGAGCGGTAGTGTAGTGGTTAGCGTGCTGTCTGTGTGTCTGTGTGTGTGTGTCTGTCTGTGTGTGTGTTCTGTGTGTGTGTCTGCGTGTGTGGTGTGTGGGGAGCGGTAGTGTAGTGGTTAGCGTGCTGTCTTTGTGTCTGTCTGTGTCTGTCTGTGTGTTTCTGCGTGTCTGTGTGTGTGTGCGTCTGTGTGTGTGAGGAGCGGTGGGTGTAGTGGTTAACGCTACGCTGCGCTACCAACCCGGCGAACCGAGTTAGATTCCCGCTCATGGCCACCACCGATCAAGATTATTTGAACCTCACATAGGTCGACTCAGCCTCAAACGAGTAACTGGTGTGGCGTATTAACATCGCCACTGGGGAGACAAAGGCGGCCGGCCGTGGTGGATACAAGTCCCGGGCGAAGCCGGGTAGTACAGCTAGTCCTATAATAATATTTCGTGGTAACAACACAAGCCATTCCAGATTTTGTGTTAACAAGTAAATTTATTTCAAAACCTCAACTCTGTACAATTACAAGCTAATGTACCTCTATAGTTGTTAATTTCCACCATCACTTTGTGAATTTTGCAGAGTTAATTTAAAAAACAAGGCTGTCTTTATCATTCCGAGCACATTAAATGCGAAAGCCCCACCAATGCATTGCACACTGTCTTCAGCAAAATTACAAACTAGGGTCTGACCAAGTGGAAAACAACACTCACAGGTGCAGAGGATCTCCTCGGTATGAAATGTAGTTAGCCATGCGGTGCACTGTCACATAAAACACATTCTTTCGAGCTCAATGAGCTGCACAACAGATTTGTTCAACACGGTGCAGATTGTAGGATTGTATTCTAAAGAATTAATCATCACCATTAATGGGTTGATTCAACAATATGCTGACGCAGTCGTCCACTTTGACCTCATGGAAAGACCACGTGGGCGAGGGCTCGTGTCTCTGCCGCCCATCGGGAATGTATGTGGATCGGGAATTGCGTGTTTAGACGTTGCATGGTCTGCAACCACCCAGAACAGGTCATTGTATTACATTGCTGTTTTTTTCTTTTTTACCTTTTCTTGTTTCATTGTATGCAATGGCTAAGATTAGGTATTAATAAAGTATAACCACAATCACATAATCACGAATCTATTTTATAGCAATATATTGGGGGGGGGGGACATTTTGAGCATCTTAGAATATTGTGGGGGGGCCGTGTCCCCCACAATATATATATTATAATTACGGCCTTGCATCACAGCGATGCACTCCGCTGCTCCTGATGCAGTTATCTGGCTTGACCACCTGAATGTGAAATGGCAGTTGTTGCTCTGCATCTACAATCAGCCGTACGAAAGAAGAAGGAGGCGAAGTAGTAATGTATGGGGCGAAGTGTGCGCCGAGAATGGTGATGTGGAACGCAATGCTCTTGTCCTCACGGGACAACTACAAACACGCTATAGGACCTCAGGCGGTCAGCATGAGCTCGGTAACACTCAGCTTTACTCTCGGCGTTGTGGAGAAAAGAAAAGGTGCAACATTCTATTGAACAACTCATCGGTAAAATGCAAAGGCGTCGTCCTGCAATTGCTCGCTCACAACCAGTGCTGCCAGATCGGCGCCCGAGACAGGAAGCTATAGACGACCCTCTGACCCCTCCGTCTTATTTGAAATTGAGATATCCCATAGACTAAATGTATACTCATTTGCTCAATTACACGGTAAGCTGCACGAGAAGATTACCTTAATTTAGATACTGGATGACATTTTTCAACAGTGTCATGTGACAATGTATGATGTGTTAAATGTGTAATCACGAAGACGGCTGAAACACTTTATTGAAGATGTAGGCATGAGAAATTTGAATTCAAATGTTTGCTTGCATTCTTTTTTTTAAACTATGTTGATTACTGTACAGTGATGCAAATGTTTGTGATTGTTGCCGAGAAGTGACAAATATTAGAATGCTCGTGTTACAAATTAAATAAAGTGTACAAGTTAAATGCCCTTCTGTCAAAGCCAATGAAACATCACACAGACACAATATTAAATATTCAAATCATCCGTCAGCAGTAACCTATTATCTCCTGGTGCTTAGCTTTTCCGGAATTTGTAATCTATAGTGCTTATGACATTTATTCAAGTAATTGGGAAGGCTTGCTCTTCGCTGTAATTCTACACATTCTTGTCATATATTGTATTGGCAACGTGTTGAGTGGCCAATTTTCTCAATATATTTATGGTATTTTATAATGCGCTGTTGATTGAAGCTCAGTACATAATTTTTTTTTAAATGCACAATGATAAACAAAAAAGTTACAAAAACAGCAATATAAAAATTGATGACTGTATAAGTATTATATATGGATGTGTATATACTAGGCTTGTTAATCGATAACCGTGAAACTGTCGATGACAATTACAAAAGTCAGGAACTGGTAATCGTTTCCTGTGGAATGTTGGTAATGACTGCTCTGATTGGCAAGCGCAAACGTACAAACCGCACTGCGGCCTAATTCACCACGTGGTTCATGTGGTTCATTGGCTCTCGTTTCTCAGTTAACAAATGAAGTTGCAACCCTGCGATGTATTACTTGCTTGCTCATACCACTGGTGGTGGAAGGACCTCCACTTGAGGGAGCTTCTAGATGGCATCTAGTTCTACTCTTGTATGCATGTACAGTATGTATCTTGCACTTATTTCGCACCGTGCGTGGCCAACTACAAAAAGGTAGTTCTGAAAAAATGAGTTTTCAATCTAAATTTGAAAGTGTGTAGCTCCAGTGGCTTCCTAATATCGGAAGAGCGTTCCAGACGGCCGCAGAAGCGCATCCGAAAGCGCGCGATGCAGTGACCGTCTTTCTCTGATGGTCTGCCAAAAGCTGCTGCAAGGACGACCGGAGTTTGTGAACAAGACATCTTGGAAGAGGTAAGCGTACTCACACTTTACCACACCGCACGTGACCTGCCAATTGACTGACTGTAGTGAACTCATTTATACTGCTGCGTGTATAGAGGTGGGGGGGGGGGATTAAAAAATAAACGTGTCCCGTTATTTCAGCTGTCGTGCTGGGAGATGGGATTGGACTAGCGAACTCTGAATGGCAAGACCAGTCAGCTTCACCGTTTCACCACAGCAGCCCCTTTTAGTTTTTCAATTAAAAAGGTCAGAATGTTTTTGTTTATCACTCTAGACATTTCTATATATGTGGGAAACCGGTAACCATGAATAGTGTTTTATTTTATTTTAATGTGGTTACAAAAAGTGCAAAAAACGCTTTTAATAACCCTAAAATATATATATACACACACAAACATGCTCTGTGTTTCTCCATTGTACAAATTAGTAATTGGTGGTTCACATCTCCACTGGTGGTCTTGCAGCCGTCATGAAGATCCCCCATTCCTATGACGTACCAAGTGTTTCCATAGGTCACATGTATATGTTTACGCGATCTAACCCCAAAAAAACCTGTATTAAGGATAATAATAACAGCCCTTTGTCAACCCACTGTTGGATGAAGGCCTCCAAGCTACATGATGTCAATTATTGGGGTTGTTTATCCATTCTTCACCGAGCAGGTCTATGTGGGTTAGTGAAGGAGGGATCCATGACCGGATATTATGTCCCTGACTAATGATGTTAGCTGTTGCAGAAGAATTAAAGTCAGGTCAGTTGGTTCATAGCCCGCCGTTCCACCTCATATAAACAAAACTGTACGCACACATGCTCAGCCCAATCCCAGCTTTGCGGTGAAATGGCAAGGTCAGAACATAAACGTCTTACCATCCTCGTCACTGTCACCATCGCTGTCCACAGCAAACTTGACCTTCTTATCTGAGATTTCTTTGTAGGAGGCTAAGAAGAGGACCACCTGCCCCTTCTCGTTTTTTATTGGGACAATATCCACAAGGCACATGAACGGGGTTCCTGTGAATGAGATACACATTCGTCGTACCACGTTACAAGAAATTCCCAGAAATTATTTCGTAAATTGTCTCGAATAGCATTGCATGTGTTTTGGTGGTTATGCTGTATAAACTCTCTGTTGTGCTTTGCTGAATATTCCAGATGCTAAAGAAACTCCAAGCTATATGTGGAGCAAAATGCATTTGATATGTACATGTGATATTATTGCATATATCGTTTGAAATACGGTGGGGCAAAAATGCAAACAAAGCGTGACTCGAACATGTCGATTCAATTCATTTCCATGTCATGAGAAAAACTATTACGGGATAAAATAGATGCAAGTAGACATTTACTGAGAAAAACAATAACTCTGATGTGAAGCATGTCAAAGATACTCGTCGGATAATAATTCTGTCGAGTAGATATGCTTTTTTTGTCGAGCTGTTGCATGCATGTATGTTGAACATCTTTCGCACCGTATGTGGCCAACCATGCTAATCAGAAGTACTGTGCAGCCAACCCATGCATGGGATACAGAGACATCTAAGCAGTCTTAAGTTTAAACAACATTCTGTCGCAACGTCTGATTGGCCCTGCTATGAACTCTGTTCACCAAAATAGAACACATAGTTTGATCTTGCTGAAGGTGAAAGTCAATTGCCGTGCAGTATTGTATATAATACATTCCTTAACACGATGATTTGCAAAGGACATGAGGTGATTGGTCATATGCTGCCTGGCTGTCACATGACAAAGTCTCTACTGCCCATTTCTCAAAACACTCTTCGCAGGTGACTGCTTGATCACCTTCTTCGCCAGGTCATTCTTCGAAATAAATCCGCCTCGTACAAAACAAACGATCCTAAAAATTGCATTGACACATTATGCACCGCCATTAGCGAAATTCAATTCCATTGTTGCAACTCTCAAAGGTTCCATGGGCAAGCTGCCTACAATTGTCTGGATACTTGAACCGATCTGTAGATGAGCACTTACGCGGTTGAAAGGTTAATTGACGACATTTCAACCTCAAATAGAAGTATGATTGGCCAATAGATTGAGCATAATTGTTGCCATTAATGAAAAGATACCCATTAAAACGTAATTAAAAAAGATCACACCAAGTTTCGTCAGGGCTTTTTAAAATTAAATGATTTTTTTTCCAACATATTTTCTTGATGCACAAAATATATATAAATATTTTTTCGCAATTTTTTTACTTAAAAATAAGTGCAGAAAACAAGCAATACAAGTATAGCATTGAAGGCCATGATTGAAACACTGACAGATATGAAAGCCTATCGTAGAACAGAATGTTTGCCATAAACTACACGGACTGTTCTACTTACGAACATTCGACTCACGAACTTTCAGAGATACGAACAGACCTGTCCGTATGTCCAGTTGCCTGTTACGGACCGAGAGGCCTAAGTTCAACCGCCGTGCAATAGATGGCGGTGGTGGCATCTACATCTGCAGAACACGAAGAACCAGTGCCATCTATACATCTACAGAAGATTATACAACTTTGAAAGCCATTCTCCCTATTTCGTGTGCATGCCGTACAACGTGTTTGAAATCGACAGGAGTAAAGTTGGACTCACGAACAAATCGACTTACGAACATACCTCTGGAAACTAACTCGTTCGGAAGTAGAGGAGTATTTGTACACAACAGCGTAACAGCACCTACCCGTTTCCCACACGTTCAAGTGGTTGAGGAGCCACTCATGCCATTATAATGTGGCTGTGAAGGCGTGAAGTGACAGGAAACACTGCTTTTTATGTAACGAACATGTCACCCAATTGAAGCAGAATGTAATAACATTCATTACATTTTTTATTTGTGCTCATTTGAACAAAATCTCAGGGTGCACTGTGGAGTTACATTACAGTTCTGCAGTATTGACCTTACCGTGTAAGTCAAAGGATGCCACATTTGCCTCGGTGTTTATAATTGATCATGGAAGATGTACAACTGGACATTACATCACGTGGGGGTGGAGATAATTGGTTTTTTTTGCCATTGGTATAATCTGCTTATAGAAATGTGTGCTTTTTTTAATACAGTCGAGCCTGACAACCGATAATCATATTTAGCAAAACAATCTGGAGCACACAACACACAGTTTTGCGAGCAATGGAATAACTTGTACTGTGACAGAGCAGCGAATTGCTTCCTATTAATGTCCTGCTGTGCAACCCCCTTTCAATGTCGCCATACCCTCTTCAAAGCCTGACATGTGTTGACTCATTGCGGGAGCTGCCTTGGTCTCTCTTTTTTAATAAGCAGAATCATTTGATGTTTACTCCATTATCATTTTTACTGACGACGAGTCGGCATCCTCTCTTCTCTTAGATACGCACTTAGCAAAAAACGATGACTTCTTCATGGGCACGCGTGTTTGCTGTTGTTGTTGCTTAACTAATCTGTTTCATCAAATTAATTCTCGCAAACGTGCCATGGCTGTTTGTGACCGTAGAACTGCCATAAATAGCTCGTTATTCTCAGTTCATTCCAATTGTTACAGTATTACAACTGTGATTTAAAATGTCCTTAATTAACAGTGAATAAGACTATGATGAAGTGACTGCGTGTTATTGAAAATGTAAAAATAAAACACCTGTTGTAGTAATTGAAAAAGGGCTGTCATTGCTTCCTATAGGTAAACGGCGATAGTATATAACAACGATCCATCTTGTGATGTTTGGCATTGCAGAAAAGCAGAATGAAATTGCATGGTCTCTATTGTTTTTTACGATGTCCCATTCATCTCTGAACTGCAGCAATCACAGTTTTTTTTTTTAAGTAACATGAGCTTGTCAAAAACAACATAGTCCCTCCGGCCTAACCTTATCCTCAGCTGCACCTTTCTATACTCAGTATAAAGACTGGAGAATGAGTTTCTTCCTTGTCTCTGCGATACAAGCTTGCCGTATTTAGCTGGGTTGAAAATTAGACATCCAACTGCCGTTAATAATTAAATGCAATATTTGTTCAAAAAGCACAGTGTTTGTAAGAAATCATAAAACTACACGGTGAATAAACGTGGCGTGGTTCGTTAATCACGCACATACTACTGTTTTCTTTTTTCCAAGCTCTATTTTCTGTCCAGGTGTGTGGGGTGGGTGGGTTTGGGGAGGTGGGGGTTGTGAATAACAACTCATGGCTGCAATTTATTTAGAGCATTCACTGGAAGTCATTGGACTATGCATAGACATATGAATCGAGTGCATGTTGTGCTTCAGCCACACATGTTTCCTTCATCACTGACATGGTCACACCCGTGTCCCCGTACCCCATGAACCCTCACCGTCCACCTAACGGGATAAGCCATCCAGGTAGACACACCCGACCCTTCATTGAACCACATTTAATGCAGACTGTCGCTAGCTGTGTGATTCTCATGCAAATATGGTGCCATTAAAAGGCTTACTAATGATGCTATAAAAACCCTATCTGGATTTATAGACGGAAAAGCAAACATTCATAGGGTGCAGCGATTATTTAATTCAATAGAGATAAGTCGTAGTTATAATGGATAAAAGGGAAGTAGAAGTGAGAAGTAAACTGGTTATTGATCAAAGTTTACATTTAGAATATCAATATGAAACTAATGGGTGGTTTATCATACGTGAGAATGATCCACTATTTAGGCATTAAACATTTTAAATTTAGTAATTTATTGTTGATAATTTGACGATGTTCCCCAATGTCTGATTGATCGAAAGTGTTGTCATCTCAGGAGGCAGAATTTGATGTAGCACAGACTAAAGACAAGACAAACTTAAACAAAGGCAGTTGTTAAAAGATTGATTTTGACCCAAAGCCATCCAAAAAAATCAACAATCGTTCATCTCTCTGTCAACCACACTGTCCATCTCTGCTTCCTCCTTCATCTTTTCAAAACAGAGTACAAATTTGACAGAGACGAACGCAGTACAGTACCACCATTCTATGCAAGGGAGTTGTTTTGTTTTTTAAGGCACACAGCCTAAAATAGATACCATTACAGATTATCGGAAGTCATTGCATCCCCATACGACAGTATTCATCACTTAAGTGCACTCCAGTAACCAAGGGCCAAAGGCACGAAGAAAGGTAAGCATGAAGTGTTCCATAATAGAGCATCTAATGCTAAGCTAGCTTCCATATCAAACACCGTTTTATAAGAAAAGTGCACATTTCCAGTGACCAAGCCCGGACTTGTGGTCCCACGGGTCTCCTATATCTGATGAAGACTGCCCAATCAGTAGTGGCACCTAGAAGCCAAGGACAGGACACCGTTGTCGTGTGACAATGATTAAAACAGAAATCCAATTTCTCCTGGAAATACGCAATGACCGTAGCACCACAGTGCGAACGAGTGGCTTTCGTCTTCTTGGTTCCTTCGGTAAAGTCACGTAGAAGGGAAGTAATAAAATAATAAAAATAAAACATATTAAAATAAAATTATCACGACGTTTCGGCCACAACACAAGCAGCCGTCCTCAGGTGAAGAAATGAACACCGCCAAGCTTGGCAGCGTATATTTAAGCTGGGTCGGGGGGAGGAGTGCGCCTTGAGAAAGGAGTTTACATATCAACAGCGGAATTAAGCATATTGATGGCAAATGCAGATATGGGATTAGTCACTCCTTGTGGAATGTGTAGGTGGGGGGGGGGTCTCAAAGTCATATTGTGCTCGTGTATTATGTAGGATTAGCAATGATAAAGGGAGGAAGTAGGAATAGCAGTAATAAAGGGAGGGAAATTTTAATCGTAAGTAGATGCAGCAGCCAAACCACCGCGCATCAAGCTCGTGCATCGTGTGGATTTCGGTTCATGTCCAATGTTTAAAACTAAATAGTTTCATATTTTCTCTCTATATATAAAAAAATATATTTAAAGCAGTCAGGTATGAATTTAATTTAATACGAACTGGGGGAAAACACAATAAGTCCTTTGCAAACTAGTTACTTATACTTTTATAAATGACATTGCAAGCTTACTAGTGTGAACACATATCTGTTGAATCTTGACTTAAAGCTTTCGTGACTGCAGGAATTCATACTCTTTGGGTCTTTCGGTAAGGACCCAAAGCGCATCTGATGAATGTTTTCTGGTATGATCCAGCCTTATACCCCTTGAGTAAAATCAACTGGCATAGAGAGCTGTATAAATGGGTTAAGCATAATCTATAAGGTCTTCACAGGGAGAACGACCTCGTGGTCACATCATGTTTGCAGCCACGAAGCTGTAAAACTGAAAAAGAGGAAACGTTCTTTATCTATTTCTGATTAGCAAGCAATCGTGGAATAAAATCCATATTGACCTTAAATATAGTCTCAACTCATTATCAATTACAATGTCGTGAAGAGGAAATAACGTGCGATGAAGATAATATTCAGGCAATGTTTAGCTTTTGTTATTTGTGCTTGTGTACCACTGCTAATGCAGTATCACAAATATGTTTTATCGTAAGAAAGTCTCACCGTGGGAAAAACACGGGGCAGTGTTTCACACATTTGACTGTGAATACAGAGATACTATGCTTCGTCCGAAAAATGAAAGCAAGAAAACACAATGCATAATGACATTGATATCACACAAAATATCGTGTTGCTGGCAGTGGTATACCTCATTGTCATTCACTATGAAGCAATGTTTTATTTGTTTCATATTTCCCATTTTCTGTACAATATATTGTCATCATTTTAACCACGTTTTTGTTTTACATATGTCCTTAAACCTTGGATATTTTCTTGTACACACGCATACATTTTAATCAATTGAATTTGCTATGATTTTGTCTTACACGATGAAGTTATTTATTTCTTACATTTCTTTGTATTTGTCAACGTGGCTCCTTAACCTACTCAAGACGCTTCTGTGCAGATTCTAATAACGTTTTGTTCTTCAACGCATTAGAGATGACTATGCATGCCCCTTGAACCGATTTTTCTGGATCTTTTCTACTTCATCTATGGGTGTACCTTACAAAAGCCTGTTAGCACATCTGTATGCTGCGTCGATAGCCTTCTTATGACATCTCAAGCTTCTGCTATCACAGTAATCTCTTGATCTGCGTAACATTTTTTTGGTGTTACTGCAAAAATAAAAGATAACTTCAACACGTGCTTTATAGACGACCGACCGTAGAAATGTGCAGATATGCACTTCATGTCACTACTAACACCAGCTTTATCTTACAAGATTCGTCCACCTGCTTTCAGCAGTTAGCAGAAGATGCCTTTAAAAGCAATGGATCAATGTGCGGTTGCACACCAAAACATCGCACCATTGCTTATTTCAGTGACATCTTAATATGGGCCAAAGCCTACCAGGCTCGACTGACACCAGATTAATTGTACCACACTCATATATGTGTATACTACAGAATGTTAGTATTTCTAACAAAATGTGCTCTTTCTGCTTGGTTCATATTTTTTGTATTATTAATTGGCGAAAACTTGTAATCTATATTTGATATTTGCGGTTGTATACTCGGGCTCATTGAATACTCGCAGCCAACTCCCACCCTGCCTCCCGAAGGCAGAAACCCCCGAGCAAAGCCACGCCCAGCGTGACGCAGCTGATGACATTGACGATGCCGCCAAGCCACACCCATTACCTCCCGTCCAGCGGTACACATTGGCAACAGAGGTAAAACCTATTTTCCAACTGTTTTCGTGTTATACGACTATTCGAGTGATTGAAAAAATCATCGGATATCCCAGCTCTGAGTGTTATTTTACAAAAAAAATTTAAAACATGGTATTCCCCTCATATGGGTTGGAGTTTTTTTGTTCTCCCCCCCTCCCAGGTGCTTTCATTTCGATTCCACATACAGGAACGCTCGTTTGAAGCAAACAAAATAAGTATAACTCGTAAAAACAAAGTTTTCACTCTAAATCCTTTATATGCGTGGCGGCTAGAGTCCTCTCGTCCTCTGGCTTTGAGATGGCTGCCACCTATGGGTCAGATGATTGTCTGCAGTATTAAACAATTGGTAATTAAATATTTAATTTGTTTTCCCTAAACAGTGTAAAATTTTGGAAAAAAATTTTCACGAACATTAATTGTCTCGCACAACGAGTCTGTATGCAAAATGTCAGCTCGATTGGATCACGGGAAGTGGGTTAAAAAACGACCGAAAGGTTTGCACGGTCGTAAGCAAGCAAGTAAGCAAGCACGCAAGCAAGCAAGCGAACTTAATATAAAGGATTTAAAAAGAGAGGCCAACGACTTCAACGCGGGGACCTCGTAACTCGGCGAGGCTTTCTCGGCCAAGCAAGCGGGGACGAGCGTCGCGTAACGCCGCCGGCGGCGACGGCTCACCGTCCTTCTTGTAGAGCTTCACCTCGGTCTTGAACTCCCGCTTCTCCTCCAGAGCCTCCCACACGCGCAGCGTGGCGATCTCTCCCGTCTCGTCGCCGTGCAGGAAGCGACAGGCGCAGTTCTTCTGCATGACCTCGCCGCGCGAGAAGCCCGTCAGTTCGCAGAAGCCGTCCGAGCAGTAGACGATGGGGTAGCCGTTGGGCACCTGCGCGTTGCCCAGCACGAAGTTGCTGTCTGCGGTCGGTGGCGGGGAGGGAGGAATATGCAGACATTGTGCCCATCGTCCAGGTCGGAATTGAAGGAAGCCGTGCAATGCTCTTAGTTTTTTCGGTAAAGTCACGTAGGTAAAAAAAATGAAATTAAAATTAATAAAAATAAAATAATAAATCTCTAATGCGTTGAATAACAAAACGTATTATTTATTTATTAATTTCAATTTAATTTTTTTACCTACGTGACTTTACCGAAAAAAACTATGAGTATGGATCCTTGCAGTCACGAAAGCTTCAAATCTAGAAACAGTGCAAGACGACATTGTGGAAATAACACGTGGAACTCTTTATTGGAGAAATTGCACGGCGTTGTCATATTCATTCACCCCCGATATTTAGGAGGGGATATTTACAGAATGTGACATTCATATCCTGTGGCAAGACAGTTTGGTTTAGGCTTGGCAGATACATGCTCAAATTATGCTGGCAGGTATAGGCTTCCTCTGAGCTGTGGGTGTTCCTGCTGCCTAGTAATATGGCATTCTTTAATTTGGGTTTGAATTCTTAACTGTTGCCACACTTGGCAGCTTCAGATGGTGCCATTTTATTATATATAAAGAACTTAAATGCAAATGAATATATATAAATAACGTTATAATTGATGATCAGGTAAAATAAATCATTACTACGGTCACATGAACCGTGGCTTACATGTATGATGTGTCCTGACACACAGACACACAACTGTCCATTGTTCCAGAATGTAGCCCATTATTAAATACTCCATTTTGTCGTGTCGTTATTTTAAATGATGCGGTTGAGCACTCTTGCCTGCGTTAGGCATTATTGCTTTGTGTGCAGTCACAGGAGACGTTCAAATTGCGTTGACATAAGGGAAAGATGCGCAATGCATGCTCGTTGTTGCTCTTTCATCAAATAGTCAAAGTACTGTTTTTGCATTGAGCAAATCTCCGTGAAAAAAATATATGTTAAAATCATAATGCGTCTGTCCGTGTGATCCGTTTGTTCATCTGCCTGTATGCGGCTACTCGCGTAAGTGATGTGTGTGGGGGGGGGGGAGGACCAAAGGTGGCAACGATGGTTAGCACACTCCACTACAAACCCGGCGAGGCCGAGTTTGATTCCTGCTTACGACCAATACATTTGGTGAATATCTGAACCTGTCCTGTGTATCCTCTTGGTCGACTCTACCTTAAATGAGTACCTAGAACGGTGTGTAAAGATCAGCACGGCGTGTCTTTGTCTTTGTTTTGCCTCCGCAGTGGGGGACACAGTGGAGTGCATCTGCCAGCTATCTCAATAAGTCAGCCTTCGACACATCACGTGGCCTCAAAGTGCACTTAGCCTGGCACGAGCACTCTGGTCATGTCACCTCCACTTCGTGTCGAATGGCAGCTGTTGTGGTTGTTGTGTCTGCATGTGTATGTCTCGTTGGTGTGTGTGTACGTGAAAAGGTCTTCAGAAGAAAAAAACTGTGGAAGGAATAAAAACCAAGATACGTCACGTGCATATTTGCAGTCTAACAGAAAATGTTCGTGGTTCAGGTTGATCCCAGTGGAGGTCAGTATGCCCGTCTTAATTGTCTAGGCTGTGAACTACAGCAGATTCAAACAAGTCGAAGGAACGATTGTGTATTTTCACAGAGACCTTGAATTTTGATGGCTTATGCGTTCCTATGCATTATGGTTACGTCTGGCTTTTGTCGACATGGAAAATTGATTTTAGTCCGTTAAAATTGATGTAGTCATTCAGGTTATCACTAACGAGGTCATTTTTTTAGAACTGCTTTTTGTGTTTAGTTTGTTGTCCTTCACCCGCACCTCCGATTAGCACGGTGGCCTATATACGGTGCTAAAGAAATTCAGCCTGAACAAATATACTTCAAAACGTGCAACGCTTGCATTGAGATTGCATCAATAAAGTAACAATACTAACCATAATATGAGTCATGTAAGGAAATATGCTCTCAGCAAGGCTATTCACAGTGGCGTTAAATTATAATTTCTGAAAATTGTATTTGAAAAATTCATATTTTGCTGACAACATGGTAATTGTTCAAAGGATTGGAAATGATCTGCAGGAAATTACTGAAGAATATAACATAAAAGACTGCAACGCGAGGCTCGTGAGACGTATGAGCAAAGTCAAAGTTTACGTGCAACAAGTTCACTAAACATAAAAATAATAACAATAAAAAATTTACCCGTAAAAACAAAGTTTTTCACTATAAATTCTTTATATGCGTGGCGGCTAGAGTCCTCTCGTACTCTGGCTTGAGATGGCTGCCACCTATGGGTCAGATGATTGCCTGGCACCATTAAGAAATTGGTAATTAAATATAATTTATTTTTTCCTAAAAAGTGTAAAATTTTGGAAAAAAAATTTCACGAAAATTAATTGTCACGCACAACGAGTCTGTGTGGAAAATGTCAGCTCGATTGGATCACGGAAAGTGGGTTAAAAAACGACCGAAATATTTGCACGGTCGTAAGTGCGCAAGCAAGCAAGCAAGCGAACTTAATATAAAGGATTTAAATAAAAAACGACCGAAAGATTTGCACGGTCGTAAGCGTGCAAGCAAGCAAGTGAACTTAATATAAAGGATTTAATAACATAGCTTGAAAACACAACAGTGTATACCAAGGGCAGATCATGAACATGATGGTGAAACAGAGACTAAAGTATTTTTGGAAATACCAATCTGATAATGAAATCAGACGATGAAATATGCATATCAATGTCCCAAACATATAACCGTTTTCAGTCATAAGCATATTACCCGCTATGATATACGAATAGTAAATATTGACACTGGCAAAGAAAATGGAACACTAGCTCTACAGTACACAAAATCATGGATAAGATCCATGCTGGGAATGTACACTGAGATGAGGAACGTTAATACGTGTACGACGGAACGAACGGATATTGATAGACATCCTATCGACTGTTAAGAACGGTGGTAAGTGGGCTTGGGTAGGACACGTCAGCAGAAGTGGTGATGGCCGACACATGAGGCAACCAGAGGTCAGCACGAGCCTTAGATAACAACCGCCGTTGACATGGGACGATGAAATTAGCTTGTGTGCAGGGGTGAGACGGATCATGTATGTGTGTTCAACTTCTTTCGCACCGTACGTAACCAACCGTGCAAATCGGAGGATGATGTAATCGCAAAGCCATACGGGATGGCAATGATGTGGGGAGGCCTTCATCCAGCATTGGTTCATGGCTGTTGATGATGATGTAGAATACTGTAATGAATGATATGCTTGCTGTATTACTGCACACATTATAAACTTCGGAGATTATTGCAGAAGGCGTTTATAACTGCATCCTAAGAATGTTTACTTGCATGCAGTCGCGAGTTAGCTTATTGAATGCACAGATTCATTGTAACGTGTTTGTTATCGTGGTTGGGCACACGTGCAGACAAAAAATGTGCACAGGATGTGTCACTGCAAGTTAATAATGGCCACTTTGCACGCCCTTTTGTGCATGAAAAAACAACCAAGAGCACTTCACGGCCCGACACGCCACGTATATTCACGAAGAGAAGTTTCATTATTTCTTTTAAGTGCTGAGAGTTCTCTGTATTTTTTTTTGTTCCCAAAATAATGGCCTCATAAATGATGCTATAAAAAAACCTGTATATTGGTAAAATCATTTTGGGCGGGGCATTTAATGTTACCCACTAAACCAAAGGGCAGGACAATAAAATTGCGTCATTATCCCTCACCCAGCTCTGCTGCAAAGGGGAGATCATAGCCGTGTGTGAGCCATGTTCCTCTACTTATATGTGTGTATACATATATATGCAAACAAATCCTGCGAATTCTGTCCCGTTCTTGACAAAAAAATAGAATCAACTGGTGCAGAAAAGTTGACAGAGCTTCTACCCTATTAATATGTTCTTTGATTAACCATTCGGTCATTACATTTATTTCCTAAATACTATATAGCATCGTTGGTAGACACCCATCAGGTAACAATAATAACCCGATTAAAACAAAGTGAGAGACATGCAGAAAAATGCTAATTGCAAGGACGGTATATTTAGCTAAAAAATTGCGATAACTTCTAAAAACACAATGTATCACGTAGCGTTGCACGGGCATAAACATGTAATTATAGAAGAATACAACAAGGACTTTGCGTATACCACTTTTCAACATTAATTCATCCAGTGCATGTCAAGTGCTACACAATGAGCACCCTCCCCTCCACAGCAAAGCAATTACCGCTGCACAAAGACCTCGGCTCAATATGCGTTGTCCTCTTCACACCACAATGCTTCAGTATGATTTTATTGATGATACGGAAGCTGATGTTGCACGTGATTGTGTTGCAGTTGTAACGTATCTCAAGGAGTATTTCACATTGCCTCTCAATGTTGTCATTCCATGTTGGCTTCAAAACAAAGTCACCGTGTAGGGACCGTAAGAACGGGAAGATAAGAACTGTCCCCGAGCTCGCTTAAAGTAGGCGGAAACGAAGATTCTCTTCACAACGGATTGTTTTGTTTCAATTTATGCTTCCACTTTCATCCGAGTGAATTATAATAGCCCCCTTACAACAATTTAATGATTGCCAATACCATTCCATTCCAACGGTAAAGGAGGTGGTTTTGGCCACGCTCGCTCATGGCGTTAAGGTTACTTTTGAATTACGCCATCAAATGATGCCCATGCAATTCCACACTCAGTCTAAGGAGCTCCTTACGGAGACGGTTCCACCTTGCCTGCAACAACAAAAAACACGCCACGGTGCCGGGGGAATGCATTATTTGCTCGCTCGGTAATGTATCACCCGACGTGTCGATTTCGGCTTCCGTGTCACGCGAGCGGTGACCACTGCGAATAACAACACTTGTGCTGTGCTTAACAGAACATGCAAAACCACTAAGGCAGCAAATTGAGCGAAATCTTCCGGGCGTGTGCAGTGCACGCATTTGGCATGTAATGCGGGAACAAAAAAACATTGACGTGAACTCACAAGCAA